CACGCCCGTGTCTGCATCAACTGGCCATATATACGTAGGTCCATTCTGCTGGTTTTATTAGGTATTGAGCAGAGGTGTAAAGAGTACTAAAATGTCCTACTTACGTACAAGTACCAATACTTTGATACATTTTTACTCAAGTACAAGTTAAAGTAAAAGCAACCGTAAATAAAATAAACTGCTTTTTTGTCAGCGTAAGGATGGCTACACATACAGTAAATAGTGCAAAATCACAACGCCAACTCGCAACACGCTGGCATGCGCATGCACAAAATACACACACGCCAAGACATTCTCAAACCTGAAGTGTCGAAAAAAACGCTGGGTGACCAAGTGTTTGTTTCAGACGCGTTGGGACTCCCAACGTGTGAAATGTTGTTGGCTCGGTTAGAATTCTCGGGGTGGGGATATTTGAATAGGAGTTCCTATTTAAAGTAGGTTTTTCATGTTGGACATAGATAGCTTCTTTAACTCCTCTCTCAAACCATCTATCTTCTCTGTCCAGAATCTGTACTTCGTCATCTTCAAAGGTGTGTCCCTTGTCCTTCAGGTGTAGGTGGACTTCAGAGTTTTGACCAGAAGAGGTGGCTCTCCTGTGTTGTGCCGTGCTCTTGTTGTTTAGTTTCTCCGATGTAAACATCTGGACAGTCCTCACTACACTGGACTGCATAAACGACGCCACTGAGCTTCTGTTTGGGTGTTTTGTCTTTAGGATGGACCAGTTTCTGTCCGAGGGTGTTGTTGGGTTTAAAGTTTACTGGGATGTTGTGTTTGGAGAAGATTGTTCTAAGTTTCTCTGAGACTCCTGCCACACATGGGATGACGGTGCCTTTGCGCCTGTTGTCCTTTTCTTTGCTAGTTGCTGCTTTGGATGCTTTTCCAGACTTCTTCATAGATTTCGCAAAGGCCAGTTAGGGTATCTGCCGTTTTTGAGTGTTTGATGTGTTTTTCTTCTTTTTGTTTTCCTTCAGTCTTTGTGGGAATGTTCTCGGCTCGATGGTGTAAAGTCCTGATCACTGACATTTTGTGCTCCAGTGGGTGATGTGAGTCCAAATGCAAATACTGGTCTGTGTGAGTTGGTTTCCTGTAGACTTCAATGCTGAGACTTCCATCTTGTTCAGTTTGCACAGCACAGACCAAGAAGGGCAGTTTGTTGTTGTGGGCATCTTCCCTGGTTAACTTGATGTTCTTGTCCATGGCATTAAGGTGCTTGGTAAAGTCTTCTACTTTGTGAGAATTTTGACCAAGGTGTCGTCCACATACCTGAACCAGTGGCTTGGTGTTCATCCATTGTAGGAGTTCAATGCTCTGGTTTCCACTTCCTCCATGTAAATGTTGGCGATGATAGGTGATACTGGGGAACCCATGGTGCATCCATGTTTCTGCCGGTAAAAGTTGTCGTTGTGTTTGAAGCAGGTGGTAGTGTCATGAGCCGGGGTGAGTACTCTTCAATTCATTCACAACCTCTGAGCTCTGATTGCAGGAGAGGGAGCAACAGCTGTTGCTCATCAGCGGGCCGGCTTTATAAGGAGGAGGGTGACCATGCTACGACGCCGGATGATTGCAACTAACTGGTAGTCACTTGCCCTTCGAGATTCGCTAAGACTTTGATTAAGATTTTTTGTGCTTGGATTTTTTGATGACTCGCTCATGTGAATTTTGGTACTTACCTCAGGTTTCTGCACCCTTGGAATTCCTGCATTCTCTGGAAGAAGTTCTCCGGTTCGTTTCCTGCTTCGCCTCTCTTCCAGCAAACCTGCTCTCTACCACGCTCACGCTCCTTCTCCATATCAGCCTCCTCAACCAAATCCTCCACACAGTCATCCACTTGGGCCGCAACCGCACTTGGACATTACCCCGGCTCACTCCCCCTCCATGTTCCTGCTCCGCTTCCGCATCGTAAGTCCCGACTACAAACAATTCCCCAAGAACTACAACTCCCATACTCACCTCTGTTTTCCCTTTAGACACCGCTTCCTGATTCTCTACCGCTGGACATCAGTGCGCCCTTAGTTTCTCCTGTCTTAAAATAAACATTTTTATTTTTTTACCTTCATACTTGCCTTGGTCTCTGATTCTGCATGTCTTGGGTTAAGCACATACCTCAGACCATGACAGAATCATCCGGCCACAATTCAAACCCAGGAGAATCAGCCTTGTCTAATCTGTCTCAACGTTTGAGCCAACAGGAACGAAATCTCCCTCTTGTCATGGAACAACTCTCTGCAGTTAATCAGTGATACCAGCAACTGGAAACCCTAGTCCGTCAAATTCATAAGACCCTCTCCCAAACTAATCAACCACCCCAACCATCAATACTGTCATCAGCAGCTTCTACATCAGTAAGTCCTTCCAGTCAGGAGCAAGCTTCTCCCATGGAGAGAACTCATTTTCGTTTGGCACCCTCACCACAGACTGAAACTTTTAGGGTTGAGTTAGATGACTGTAACAGCTTTTTATTACAATGTAAGCTTGCTTTCGAACATTGTCCCTCGGCCTTTATCTCAGACTCTGCTAAGATCTCATATATTGTTGGATTGTTAAGAGGACGGGCTCTTAGGTGGGCTGAGGCAAGGAGTCATGACGACTCGTTTTTACAAGGACCTTATAATGATTTCCTCTCTGATTTTAAACTCACTTTTGGCGGACACGAGTCCCTCTCAGATATAAGGAAGAAGCTCTGGACACTCTCACAAGGGAAAAGATCCTTGGCGGATCTTGCCGTGGATTTCCGCATTCTAGCGGCCAGAACAACTTGGAATGAAGACGCCCTCATAGGAGTGTTTACAGAGGCCTTGAGTGACAAGGTGAGGAACCAATTAGCCTTGTGTCCAGAACCCAGTGCACTGGAGGAACTCATCAGACTAGCCATATCAATCGATAAACGCCAACGGGAGCTCAGCAGACACGCCCCCGTACCAGCAGCAGCCGCAACCCATGACCAGAACCCAGGCACTTCTAATCGCCAACAGCCTGACTTAGAAGAGCCTATGCAGATGGGGAGAACACGTCTCACACAAGAGGAGAGAGAGCACCACCAAAGGTCAGGACTTTGTACTGTGGAACTGCAGGACATTTTGTGAATAGCTGCCCGAAACTGCCAAAAGGGCAGAGCCTGCCGGTAAAACTGGGACTACTGGTGGGTGGAGATTCAAATTATTCTGGTTCCTGGTGTTTTTTCCCATGTGTTTTGTCTATAAATTCTAGACCTGTGACACTTGAAGCGTTATTGGATTCTGGCTGCGAGCAATCTCTCTTGGACGAGAGAGTGGTGGAGAAATGGAAGATTCCTACCACCAGGCTACCCACACCCCCCTCAGTCTCATCATTGGACAATAAAACCCTCACTACCATTACCCATCAAACCATTCCTCTATGTCTCATGGTCTCAGCTAATCACTCAGAGATGATTATATTCTTTATGTTTCTTCCTCAGTCACTGTTGGTTCTGGGTCACTCCTGGTTGGTTCAACATAACCCCTCTTTGGACTGGAGAAAGAATCAGATTTTGGGTTGTAGTCCGGAGTGCTCGCAGAGTTGTTTGAGTTCTGCCTTACCTGTTGGTCAACCATCACCACCTTCACCCCCTGAGGATATTGACCTCACAGCAGTCCCTCAGGTCTATCATGACCTCCGCCAGGTATTTAGTAAAGATCGTGCCTCTTCCTTACCTCCCCACAGGCATAGGATTGTGCCATCGATCTCCTGCCGGGGGCTCCACTGCCATCGAGCCGGTTATACAATCTCTCCAAACCCGAGTGTGAGAGCATGGAGAAAAACATCCAAGATTGCCTGGCTGTTGGTACCATTCGCCCCTCTTCGTCTCCCCTGGGCGCATGATGAAAATCGAGTCGACTTCGACTAGTCGTTGATGATGTCATACACCCGAAGCAGCGGCGGGGGTGGGGGTGGTGGTGGTGGGGGTGGCGGGCGGTTGGTTCGCTGGAGTTTTTGACAATTAAAATTGCGCCCACATTTTCAAAGTTAAACACGTCTCTTTTAACAACGGTAGTTTCTGCATATATATACTGTTCCTGCTTCAGCCCTCTCCCCCCTCCCCCTGCACAGCGGCCACAAACTCACTGATGCGCCTGCAGCCTCTCAGAGTTCCTGCTGCTCTAAACATTAAAATAATTATTTCATTTTCTGTTCCTCACTTCTGATTACCTTCAATGGTTTCTGTTTGATGCAACCACCAGGTACAAAAACTGATTTTATTCAGGTCATATTTTTTAAGTTATGATAAACTTATAGTTTTTAGATAAGTTAACTTAAAAATTATTAGGTAATCAGTTTCCTCGTAAATTTTGAGTTTAGTGAATTTATTCAGGGTTGCAGTGTATCCCCCAACGTGTTATTTTTAAATTTAACACTTAACTGAGTTGCTTAGATTTAACTCTCCATATCAACACTGACTCTTTGGAGGTCTTCACTCTCACATAGTGAGACTGGACTGTGTAAGTGTTGAAATAACACTGTAGATTTAACACTTTTGATTGTGCTGCGTGGGGGCCCACCTAGATGGCTTGTACCTAGGGCCCAGAATTCGGTGATACGCCCCTGGTCACGAGAAATTGATTTTATAGAAAATGTGTGCTGGTAGGTGGGCTGTCCTTTATTTAGAGACACTGAGCAACAAATCCACTGTCCCAGGAGTCTAGTCGTGAGCTCAAAGTTCTACCCCAGCTTCTGTGGATTAACCGATTTATTTTATGGGATTCTCTTGTATCGCGCGCGCGTATGTGTGAGAAAAACGGAGCTCTGTCCGTGGTACTGAAGCTCGCCGCTCCTTATGTGTGACACCTGATGATTAAACTCAATAAATACAACATTAAATAAGGTCATGAAACCGGATCTATCTGGTTTCAGGCGCTCTAGCTCGTGAAACCTTGTTTGCATATGCGTAATAATCCAGACTGCGCTGCGCAGAGAAAAACTGTGGACTGATGAACACGGTTCCCCTGTTTCGACAGAGAAGCTATGACGCGTTCACCAATGTAAATGTGCCAGAGCAGGCCACCCCTCCTCCTCCTGCCCAGCATACACACAAACACACAATTGTGGCTGCGCTCCGTATCTCCGTGGCAGCCGATTCCGAGGACAGAAAGCAGCGCTGGTCCTTTCAGACTGAAGGGGTTTGGGTGTGAGGCAGAGAGCTTATATAACGGGACCAGGGCAGATGCTGAGCAGCACCGAGGAGCCTTAGTGGAGAGAATCCGTGGAAGGAGCGATCGGAGCTGTCATGGCGCGGTAAGGAAGCAGAGCTCCGCCGCTGAAGGTAAAACGGGATTTGAAGCTCCTAAATGGTGGAGGGAGGCGCTGAGAGGGTCTTAAGATGGATGCGTGTTGATGCGTGTCCTCCACCGGGCCGTGCGTATAGCCGTAAAGCTCACCAGAGGGTTTGAGGATGCGCGTTCACGGTGAGTTCGGACAGGTTTTTCAGGAGTTGAGCAACTTGGGTGTCCGTCCGGACCCGATGGTCGTCGTGCAAACTGTTGCTCCTCTACTCTGGAGCATCACCACAGCTTCGATGGAGCTGACGGGCATGAGGGGTGTGTGATGGTCACCTGCTCAGCCCGCGCCCAAGGGTCAGGCTGGTGCTGGTGATGGGGCTGGTGCTGCACAACAATCACCGCAGCTCTGTTATTATCACCCAGCAGCAGATCAATCTCATTATAATCCCCTTTCACAAAAGCCCATAAAACCCTCTCAGAGCTTTTATCACTTCATTTTCCACTCTGATCACCCAGACTTAAAAATGGTGCGGAAAGATGTTTGTGGTATAAGCACAGGATCTGTCAGGACAGGAGCTGAGTGAGATGTGTATTTGAGCCTTCTGGGTTTGGAGGTTTATTGTTGTGATGCAGAAGAAACGGGCCTGAGACACTAGGACTGTTGTTGTTTCCCTTAGGATTATAGAGTCATCGGAAACATGCATGTGTTACCATGATTCAAACACGTTCCTGCTGATTCACTCTAAATCCATCTGGTTGTGTTTCATCTTTACTTTGTCCCACAGCTATACCTCAAAGATCTTCCCCAGCTTGGATGTGGGACACCTTCATTTTGGAGCTGCTGCAGCGGGACTGAGGGGTGAGAGTCGGCATGTGCACCAGTAGGAGCTGCACATCTGGAAGACCAGGAAGATGCTTGGTGATTTTGGTGATTCATGAAATTGACTTCCACTGAGGTGGGGGGAGTGTGCAGCTATGTTGGTGCCCCTCTACAAGCTGCTCTGCTTCTTGAAGAAGACTCAAATGCTACTGCTCTGCCTGGGTATCGCCTATCTGATGGCTGGCAGCATCCTGCTCCTGCAACGCTCCACCATCAGAGTGGTTCAGACTAATCCAGCGGGCCTGCCGCCCTTGTTGTCTCTGGCTGCACCTCCGGCTGCCCGGGAGACAACAGGACTGGGCACGAGGACACGGTCCAGATGGGCCATGGCTCAGGCTGCGTCTGGAGGGGGAAGCAATGTGAACCAACAGTGGTCTGGTTCCCGAAGCCTGGGGGTCCAACACTTACATCGTCGCTGGTTTCACAATCTACTGCCAGAGAGTCCAGAGCAGAGGGTGTCTCTCCTCAGGAACTCCAGGCACAAAGGTAAAAGCTACAGAGATGCAGATCCATATGGTATATGATTTATAGCTTCTAAAGCTCCACAGCTGCTGTTTTTTAGCCAAGAGACGAGTGAGGCTTCACCAAATCAGGACCACAGGCTTCAGTCACGTTGGGATTAAAATAAATATACTCATGAATGAAAAGTCATCTTCCTAACAGAAGTCTTGTTCTCTAGGCCATATGCACGTCATTTTCTGTTCAGTCTAAATGGTGTGTGACATTACACACACCTGCTGTCTGACAGAGCATCACAGGGTAGAATGTAAATGTGGAGATGAGAAAACTCATGTGAAGTGTCATGGTGAATAATGTATGCCATACAAGTGTGCTGCTTGGCTCAGACAGCCGGGAGGTCCACCCCCTCCTCCCAGAGCTATACATAGTTTCATTCAACATGTTGTTGGGGTGACGGTGACACAGGAGATTAGCGATCGCCCCAGAATCAGAAGGTCGCAGGTTTGAGCCCTGCTCAGTTTGTCGTTGTGTCCTTGGGCAAGACACTTAACTCCCCTTGCCTATCGGTGGTAGGCGGAGAGGCCGGTGGTGCCTGTGCTCGGCAGCCTCGCCTCCAACAGCGCGTCCCAGGACAGCTGTGGCTACATCGTAGCTCATCACCATCAGCGTGTGAATGTGTGTGTGAATATGTGAAAGCGCCTTGGGGGTTCCAGGGCTCTAGAGGGTGCTGTGTCAAATAGAGGCCATTTATGATATTGATCATCATGGCCCAGAAGAACCCTGAGCTGCATGTGCATGACATTTCCAGTGTGAATGCAATAGACCCTTTAGGGGAGATGAAGAAGGGAGTCATTTTGCAGTCACTCACATTGTTGTGTCTGTCATCATCATCATCATCATCATCATCATCATCATCATCATTGTCGTGGAAACTAAATAAAATAAAAATAATATTAATAATAATAATAATAATATACTGAACAAAAATATGAACACAACACTTTTGTTTTTGCTCCCATTTTTCATGAGCTGAACTCAAACATCTGAATATTTGTCTGCATACACAAAACACCCATGGCTCTCATGTATTGTTCTGAAATCTGTCTACATGTGTGTTAGTGAGCACTTTTCCTGTACTAAGGTAATCCATCCCACCTGTCAGGTGTGGTATATCAAGGGGCTGATTAGACAGCATGAATAATGTACAGGTGTGTCTTAGACTGCCCACAATAAAAGAACACCCTGACATGTGACAGTTTTACTTTAGTGGGGTGGTGGGACAGAAAAACAGTCAGTGTCTGGTGTGGCCACCATTTGCCTCACGCAGGACAACACATCTCCGTCACAAAGAGTTGATCAGGTTGTTGATTTTGGCCTGTGGAATGTTGGTCCCTTCCTCTTCAATAGCTGTGCGAAGTTGTTGAATACTGGCAGGAACTGGAACACACTGTTGTATACACCAATCCAAAGCATCCCAAACATGCTCAATGGGTGATATGTCTGGTGAATGCTGGCCATGCAAGAGCTGCTTCCAGGGATTGTGTACAGATCCTGGCAATATGGGGCGGTGCGTTATCATGCTGCAACATGCGGTGATGGTCGTGGATGAATGGCACAAAAATGCCAATGGAATTAGCATGTTCACCCCATGCACGTGTGGGTTTCTCTGGGTAAATAATGTTCTGTTGAAACATTTTTGTTCTTACCTGCTGATCAACACACTGAGCACACTAAACACAGCATTTATTAATGAAAAGAATGTTTGTTGCATGAAAGGATCTAGAATTGGTTGTAGATATGAGTCATGCTTCAAGAAAATGAAGGAAACCGATTCCCTTAAGTTGATGGAGAACTTAAAATGGATAGATGATAGATAGATAGATAGATAGATAGATAGATAGATAGATAGATAGATAGATAGATAGATAGATAGATAGATAGATAGATAGATAGATAGATAGATAGATAGATAGATAGATAGATGATAGATAGATAGATAGATAGATAGATAGATAGATAGATAGATAGATAGATAGATAGATAGATAGATAGATAGATAGATAGATAGATAGATAGATAGATAGATAGAACCAACCATTGGGATGTTGGACATCACAGATGGTCCAGCAGAAATAACAGGATGCCAAATCAGGAGTATTATAAGGCTTTGATCCAGACTGTGCTGTCATTTATCGGCTCTCATCCGTCCAACGCAACCTTCTTATTTTTGTTTTACAGCTCAAGTGTTTGGATAAAAGCCCAAACGCCACAGGTTAAAAATCTTTGTGAATCTGAAGTTTTTAAGTTGCATGATAATGTAAAATTATTGTAATTTCTTGACCAGATCATTAAATAAAAACCAGCAGCAGCCTTGTAAACAAGATGCTGCTCTGTGACTGTCACCCTGCAGCTCTACACACCTGTTACAGGACAGTCAAACAGTAATAATGTACAACACGACTTACACCCATCACCTCTTTAGAACCTTCAGTTTGTTTTTATTCCTACAGTTTTAGAGAGAAAACAGAAATAATTGCAATAACAGGAAAGGTTTTCATCACCAGTAGGGAAGAATGAAGATCAGAGACGTGCATATGGAGGAAACGTTATGCCTTACAGGGATGATTCTCTGATTCCTTCAAATGTAAACTACATGTCAGAAGCAGCACTTTTTAGAGCAGCAGCTAAATATGAAAGGAGGTCTGCGTTAATGCTCTGTAACATTTGCTGATATTCATCAGTTATGATGTAAAGGTGGCTTTGTGGAGGACTTGGTAGCCCAGATGGAGGTGAGTGTGCCTGGACTTTTAATCAGTAAAGGATCAGAATCGGTGTCGTGCCTTGGCGTTTTGATGACGGTTATGAGGATTTTGTAGGTTTAGCAGGAACACGGTGAACCCCCTCCACTCTCCTTAATGGACCTATGCAGTGGCACACGTCCTCATGCCTGCCATCCTATCAGTAGCTGTTTTAACCCGGCCCTGCAGGGAAGGATGAGCTCCAGCAGCCATCTGTCTTTGTGTTTAAGAATGCTGCACAACGTCACACCTAAGTGTCGTCTTTTCAATCTTGTTCGGATATCCAGGCTGCTTGGCTGCTTCTTCCCATTAACCCCCACCCACAGCTGCCTGGGGCCTTCCTTTCTCTTTGATTAAAGAACTGGTGTGCCCTGCTGGGGAGGGGAGGGGAGGGGGGTGTCTCACCTTGAGTGATGCCTCTCGTAGATCCTTCTGCCTCTCCTGGCCCTTAGAGCCTTTAGGTGCTCCTCAGCCTTGCCTCCTCCCAGCAGGCTGGATGGGCTTTGGAGGACACAGCAGACTGATTGAATCACAGTTTTGCTTCGGTGATGGTTGGCTGCAGGAGATTACATGCTCCATTGCCTGCTGCCATCTTGTCTGCGCATCATGCAGCCACTTTTCTTCAGTCCCAGTCGCATACTCATCCAGCTCTTTCTGTGAAGCTCTGAGGTATAGATTCATTCTGAGCTGGTGAAACTCACAAAGTAAGTTAATGATTAGTTAATAAAATTCAAGTAAAAAAAACCTGTGAATTAAACTGAAGCCAGTGCTGAATGTGCTTGCATGCCACTCACCAGAAGACAGAGCATGTAGCATATAAAACAAAACACATCCTTTCCCAGGCCCAAAGGGAAATATGGCATTGAAGTCTGCAGACAAAATAAGTGCATGTGCTGCTTTCTGTGGAGAATCTGGTGTTCAGAAATGATGCTTTTGTGTGTCGGCGGAGTGGCGACTGATGGAGCAGCGTGGCAATGACAAAGATAACATTACAGCTCTGAATATGAGCAAGTTTTTTTTCTATGGTGGTCAAATCTTGTCAGCACATCCTAATATTCTGTCACAGCCCATTAAGTCTTACTGTTTTGTCTCTGCATGGGTAACTTCAGTTCCTGTGAAAGAACAGGGTCTTAGAATAAAGCAGTTTTCAGAATAAACTGAATAATCAAAACAGGAAACAAATCTTGGTAATTAGGAATAAGATGGATATTAAGGTGTTTGATTAATGTCTGTGTGATGACGCAGGAGCTGCTGTGTGACCCCAAATCAACCTAACACACACTCTTCGCTCACATCAGATGGTTTTGTTTGGCTTCTTATAAGTTTTAACACAGATCCCTGTTGATATTTGAGCCTTGTGGTGGCTGGTTGGTGAGTTAAATCTCTGTTCTGCTGTCCCTCATCTTTAGAAATACTCATCTCTTAGTGTCATTTGCTGACTGGTAAACTGTGGGCACTGTAGGCAGGGCAGTGAAACAAACCAAATGTGTAACTTTGCATTTTGGTTCCAAGCCATCATAAAAAAACAACACAATATTTAAATTATAATAATATTCTCAAAATCACATTGTAACATTCTAATTTCAATGAAAGCTTTGATTTTGAAATAATTTCCTCTTGTGCATTTTGTGATATTTTAAAAATTCGGCAAAATCCAAGATACAGAATGAGGGCAAAACACACTGGTGGTGTCTAGTGCATTAAGAATACACCACAGTCATTGATAATTATGACTCCAAGGGTTTTTCCTGGCTCAAATTGAGGCAGAGGTGGGGTGGCGAAGCATGGGCAAAGGAGCTACTATCGGACATATCTGTGGAGCTGTGGGAAGAGGCTTTGTCTCGGGTTCACTCCTGCTCTATAAATACTCGCTATCGATTGATACAATATTGTCATGGTCTGGGTCTGCATCTCACCTCATGTGTCTCCTTTTGTCCTCATTCGTCTCTAGGTGCTCCTTTTGTGTCTTCTAGCGCCCTCATGTGTCGTGTCTGCATCTTCCTCATGTGTCTCCTGATGTTCCCCATTTGCCCTCTAGGTGTCCCTCCTCAGACTTCCCTCTCCCAGGTCCTGTACTCTCTTGGCCCCCTCTTAGCCACGCCCCTGTAGTTTCTTTCTGTAGTGTTTTCCTTTAGTGTCAGCTTCCCCTTAGAATATTAGTTATGGTTCATGCCTTCTGGTCTTTTGTTTTTCTCTTAGGTCATTTTCCTTTGTTACAGCCTTTCATTATTTAGTGTGTTTTTTCCCACCAGTGTTTTCTTCCTCCTCCCTGAGTTAGTAATTGTGTTCACCTGGTCCCTCTCCCACACACCTGCAATTCATCTCCCTCTCATCCCCAGTCTTTATAAGCCCTGTCTTGTCTCTGTGTGGTTGTCGGCCCATTGTGTTTTTGTCAGCGTTGTTCGTGCTCTATGTGAGCTTGTGTCTTCAGGTTTTTGGTGCTCTTAGTGAGCTTTCGGTGTCCTGTGTCCCAGGACTTTTGTTCCCAGACTTTGGTGCTCTAAGTGAGCTTTTGGTGTCCTGTGCTCCAGGACTTTTGGATTTTGGCTCGCTGCCTTATGGATTTATTTTGTTTTCATCCTGCCAAATAAAGGATTTTTACTTTTACCAACTCCTGCCTCGAGTCATCCTGGGCAATCTGCATTTTGGGTCCTAATCTTCCCCACAATGTGACAAATATAAGGTGATTCATAGATTGCACTACTCAAAGATAAAGCTGAACAGAATTGTCCCTGTGGTATCTCCCAGATGCAGCTCTGCTGAGGGGTCCTTGGCCCATCATTTCTGGTTTTGCCCTCAACTGTATGGTTTCTGGACTGCAATTTTCAGGTGTTTTTCTGACCGCTATTCCAGAGACATTCAACCAGTCCACAACCTTGCAGTACTGGGATGCTCCACTGACAGTCTGGCATTGGCACCGGAAATGCAGTCGGCTCTGCAGCTGGGTATGGTGGTTGCTAAGAAACTTATGCTACTGTCTTGGAAATCCACCACACCTCCAAGCTTTGACCACTGGCTCAGGGAAATGATATCAGTGATCCAGCTGGAACGTATTTGCATGTACAGGCTGGACAAGCGCCACAGATATGAGAGAGTTTGGGGCCCCTTTTTGGCTCAATACAAAATCATTGTGCAGTCTGGATGACTGCATTACTGTTGACTTGGTACGGAGGGTGACTTGGTGATGGTTATACACATTTAATTTCTGTCTGGCAGTCCCCCCCCCCCCCCCCCCCTTTATTTATTTTTGTTTTGTTTTGTTTTTGGCTTGCTTTCTTGTCTGGTTCCATTTGTGGTGTATGTCTTGTATTATAACATTAAAAATGCAATAAATATAATATTATTAAAATAGACAGACACGCACACAGTTTTTTTCGTCGTACTGTTCAGCCCTGCTCTGGTATGGAAGAGCCTGGGGTAAATCAGGACGACAATAGCACCAAACATAAATGAGCACCAACTAGCGAGAAAAGCAATTATTGATCTTTTTCTGCAGCAGTTTTAGTGCTTTTCGGTGTGCTGCTGCTGATACAGTGTCCCTATAGTGGCACAATGCTGCAACTGCAGTTAAAATAACATCCATATAGCTGGGGGCAGAGTGCAATCAGGCTGGGGCGGCAAAAAATTAGCTGGAGGCAGCCGCCACACAAATTTGAACGCAGGAAAAACCCTGACTCCTATGTGTCTCTGTCTGTAACTTCTAGACAGTTCCCAAGCACCAAGTACCCAAGTACTTTTGCAAAACCACATTTTTGTTCCCACTGACTTCCTGCTTGGACATCCGGACTTCCCCAGCAGCTCTTGTCTGCTTTTACAGCAGCACAGACTCCAATTTTAATCTGCTAGGGTCTACACATACCAACCCTCATCTCTGATCATTTTACAAATATTTATTTGATTCTGATCTTGAATAAGGCTGATGTTACACACGTCTGTGGTAGTCTGTATTGATTCCAGTGTCATAAAAGTAATTTTGGCTTCTGAATACACTTAACAACTCAACTCGACCACCTGCATACATACGCTAGAAGGTGTAGTAGCAATGTTTTTCTGTTGTTTTTTTTTTTGGCATTTTTGTTTAAATGCTCTTTACATACAGATGGAAACAAAAAAAATAAAAGGTTTTATCAAATAAATGAATGATTTTAATCTCTTCTGAAAGGTCAAATCCTGGAAAACCTCAACTAGAGGATTTATGCTTACAAAACCTGTGGTTATTTGTCATAAATAACCACAATTTAAATGTGACCTTTTTGGACAAAAATCACTTAAAATGTAAAATATCCTAAATGACTTTTATTTTTTGTTAAGTTAAATTATTTGCAGTTTATTTGAGTGATTTCTATCTGGGGTTTTATTTATTTATTTTTGGACAATTGCAGGAACCTACATCGGATGCTTCCTGCATAATTCCAGTGAGCGAGCCTTGGGAGGAACCATGCTTTATGACCTGCGTAAAATGACCAGCACTTTGTGTCAAGACACCTGCTCAGAAAGGTAAAGTGTTTCCTCACAGGGGCAACAGAGGGGCCGCTGTGTGAGCTCAGCTTCCTTCATCAATGGCTCCTGTATCTTAGGCTGGTGGAGAGTCAGGTGGCTGGGGAGGGCTGGAGAATGAAGAGCAGGCTAGAACAGAAGGCTCGATCAGTCTCTCAGAAAAGGAAGTAGCAGTGTGTGTGTGTGTGTGTGTGTGTGTGTGTGTGTGTGTGTGTGTGTGTGTGTGTGTGTGTGTGTGTGTGTGTGTGTGTGTGTGTGTGTGTGTGTGTGTGTGTGTGTGTGTGTGTGTGTGTGTGTGTGTCTGTGTGGGGGGGCTGGTAAGCCTAATGAGCTGACCACAGCAGTTGGTGAATAAATTGCTGGTTGGAGGAGTGCTTTTTCTACAGCCAAGGTTTAAAAACCAACCAAAAGAGTCTGTGTGACCTGATTCCACAACTCTGGGATGATTTTCTATCAAACCTACAAAAATTCTAAAGACATAGGAGGAATCATTCACTGCAAGCTCAAAGAATGACCCGCTTGAATTATTTCTTTTCAGACAGAGCAGCCAGACTAAAACTGAGCAGCAGAGGACTCAAGGCTGCAGTTGCCACTAGCGTTTAAGGTCCGCTGAGTCCATACACACCCTCAGCATCAACGTAGGAAATATTCCTGCTTGTTACCTGAGTGCAGCAATTAATGCAATGAGCAACAGTAAAAAGTCAAGACAATTTATGAGGAAGCTTCAAAGGACATGCATGAAAAGGTCAGCTTTGATGAGGACTCTGTCTTTCCTAACGAGGCAGAAAGACAGGAAGGATGAGTCACCGTGGCCTTGATGTAAGGAGCAGAACAGAGGTTACTGCAGTTCAGCCGTGAGAGAGCAGAGCGTAGTCCGTAAAGAGCATGAGGAGGTGGCGTAGGTGCACCAGCGAACATCAGGATGCAACAAAGTTTGAGTCGATGGAAATGGTAAATGGCCTGTATTTGTATAGCACAACCCACAAAGGTGCTTCACAACACAATCGGTTATCCACACATTCACACACTGGTGATGATGAGCTACAATATGGCCACAGCTGCCCTGGGGCACCCTGACAGAGGCAAGGCTTGCAGAACACTGGTGCCTCCGGTCCCTCAAACTACCACCAGGTTTAAGTGTGTTGTTGCCCAAGGACACAACAGCACCATTCAATGGTCAGAGCCGGGATCAACCCTGAAACCTTCCAATTACTGGACAACCTGCACTACCTCCTGAGCTGCTGCTGTCCCCTAGAATGAAGAGTTTGGAATCTGAGCCTCTATCTCTCTCTGTGTGTGTGTGTGTGTGTGTGTGTGTGTGTGTGTGTGTGTGTGTGTGTGTGTGTGTGTGTGTGTGTGTGTGTGTGTGTGTGTGTGTGTGTTTATGAGACCAGTGGGTACCAGTTTGCAGGTCTGGAGTATGGAGCCGAGTGTCACTGTGGGAACCGGATCAGCAGCCCGAAGGCCCCGGAGGAGGACTGTAGTCTGGTGTGTCGGGGAGAGAGGGGGTCTCCCTGCGGTGGTGTGGGTCGCCTCTCAATTTACAAGGTGGAGGAGCAACTGCCAGGTCACAGAAAATGTGAGCCAAACCCCCCCCCCCCCCCCCCAGGACAGATGCAGCTCTTTAATTTACCCAGATAAGTGAAGGCCCGAGGTCAGAGACACTCACTGGTCTGATGGAACTCAAACGTGCATGTATAACATCCCTGAGGTGTGTGTTTTTGAGTTGAACCTTGTCAGTCAGGAGCTGTTTCAGTAAAGTGGGCCTTTATATATTTTTAAATGAACAAAGACGTAAGGCTTTCTTCATGTTTTTAATTTATTTAAAATAATAATAATAATAAATGACGATAAATTTTCTGCAACTTGCCGTTAAGTCAAACTGTATGGAAACATTCTCTATTAGGTGTTTTTGGCACCAATTATGAAATTTGTGTCCCTGGGCTTCCACCTTATCGTGGTGGAGGAGTTTGTGTCCCAATGCCTATGTTTACATGTAGCCAATATCCGGGTTATGATCGGGTTAAGGTCGGTATTCGGGTTTCTGAGTTGATCAGAATAACCCGTTTACAAGCATAAATAGAAAGAGTTACCCCTAACTTGCCTAACCCGATTGAAATGCGGACGTTGGGGTAGCGTCAGGATGTATGGACTACGTCAAGACGCAATATGCATAATTTACGGTTCTTCTTGTTCCGGTATCCGTGAAAACAACAACATGTTTCCCAGTTCGGAAGAGATAGCGACCGCGTTTGTTTGCGCTTTAGTGCTGGTAAAAGTGTGGTGCTGTGCCGCGACTCGCCATGTTGCTCCCAACTTGTTGTTTACTTCCGGTGTTCTGGCACATACAAGACGTCTCGCTACTCAAAAGACCAAGATTCCTTGCGAACAGAGCATGCGCAGAACACACGCTTTGATGGGGATTTCCCGATATGCGTTTACACGACCAAACATTCGGGTTAGAAAAGGGTTACCCCAGGTGTAGTAACCAGGTTTTTAGCGGTGTTTACATGGCCGTGCGGAACCGGGTTATCGTGAATATTCGGGTTTTAAAAGGGTTACTGGCTGCATGTAAACGCACTCAATGATCACAGGAGCTAAGTTTTCTGAGGTTTTTTGTCTCTGGTAGGGTCACCCATGGCGAACAGGTCCTAGGTAAGGGATCAGACAAATTGAACAGTGTTCCCTCACTCGGACGCAGGTCACAGAGGCCCCCTTCTGGATCCAAGCCTGGAGTTCGGGCACATTGGTGAGCACCTGATGGCCGGACTTTGACCCATGGAGCCCGGCCGGGCACAGCCTGAAAAGAAGACGTGGGTCCTCCTTTCCTTGAGCTCATCACTCATGGGAGGGTCAAAAGAGGTTGGGTGCAGTGTGTGTCGGGTGGTAGCTTAAAGCAGGGACCTTGGCGGTCTAATCCTGGACTACAAAAACTAGCTCTTGGTACATGGAATGTCATCTCTCAGGTGGGGAAAGAGCTGGATTTGGTGGTTGAGGTTGAACGGTTCCGGCTAGATATAGCAGGACTCACTTCAACACATGGCTCTGAAAGCAGTTTCCTCGAAAGGGGTTGGACTTTCTACCACTCTAGAGTTGCTCCCACTGAGAGGTGTGGAGCAGAGTTTGGCATACTTGTTGCCCCCATCTTGGTGCCTGTATGTTGGGGTTTACCTCGGTGAACGAGACGGTGGCCATTCTCCACCTTCATGTGGGGGGGGACGGGTCCTGACTGTGGTCTGTGCTTATGCACTAAACTGCAGTTCAAACTACCCACCCTTTTAGGAGTCCTTGGAAGAGGTGCTGGAGAGAGGTCCTTCAAGTGACTCCCTCATTCTGCTGGGGGACTTTAACGCTCATGTGGGCAACAACAGTGAGACCTGGAGAGGTGTGGTTGGGAGGAACGGTCCCCTGATCTGAATTGGAGTGTTTTTACCTGTCATGGATTGTCCATAACAAACACCATGTTCAAGCGTAAAGGTGTCCATATGTGCCCTGGCACCAGGATACCTTACCTTAGTTCAATGATTGACTTTGTTGTCAGTTCATCTGACCTGCGGCCGCATGTCTTGGACACTCGGGTGAAGCGAAGGGTGGAGCTGTCAACTGACCACTACCTGGTGGTGAGATGGCTTCAATAGTGGGGGGAGGAAGCCGGTCAGACCAGGCAGGCCCAAACGTAATGTGAGGGTTTGCTGGGAATGTATGGTGGAGTCTCCTGTCAGAAAGAGCTTAAATTCCCACCTCTGACAGAACTTTGAACACGTCCCAGTCCGAGTGGACCATGTTCCGTGCTTCTATTATTGAGGCGGCTGACCGGAGCTGTGGCCGCAGGGTGGTTGGTATCTGTCCTGGTGGTGACCCTTGAACCCGCTGGTGGCTTGCTCTCTCATTTGATTAACCCGTTCAGGGTATCGGGTAGTTTTCCCGTTCCTCTGCAGACTCTGAGCCACACCGGCTCCTCATGTCTGCTCCTCCTCTCCTCTTCCTCCTGCGGTGCCAGCCCTTCTGACTGATTGTCAATTGGAACAAGGTGTGCCTCGTTGGGCAGCCAACAGCCCCTCCCATCTTGCAGTCTGCCACACTCTTCCACCGCTTGCTCCAGGCGGGGAATATCTCCGGTCTTGCCGAGTCCCCCAGAACCGGGGAAGTATTCGCTGCTTACCAGCTGGGCCCCCAGCACCGGTCGGGTCCAGATCGCCTCTTGCCTTCTGGTCAGTGACCTGCCGGCCTGAGCTGGTTGATCTGCTCACTCGACTCCCGTAGTCCATCTCCATCATAGGGCAATCTCGCCATTCGTGCTCCACCTCACCTCAATTCTAGCATCGGGGGGTGGAGGTTCCGTGCAAGGAGCTGTCACCCGCTGGCTGTTGTCCTGTCGCACTATCATCCCTCAAGGTCCCTCTCTAATGCCGGGAGGTTGAAGTCGTCGTGATGCTGAGGTTGGCCGTTCTGGCCCTTTCTCCCATCCTTGGACTGCCAAGTGGTCCTCAGCCAGGTTCACAGTGGCCTTCGCGTCCGTGGGTCGATGACACTGGATCCACTCCCTGGTCCTGCTTGGCATTGCCTCTACAAACTGTTCCAGGACCAGTGTGTCAAGTAAGTCCTGCCCCCCGTCTGACTGGAACTCCCAGAGCTGCTGTGCAAAGGCGAATGGTCGGTCTCCCATTTCAAGCCTGACCTCTCTGAACCCGCATCATAATCCTCCGCGGTGCAGCCAGTCCAGTCCAGTGTGGCTTGCTTGATGTCCCTGTAGCCGCGGGACGTGGCGGGTAGGCTTGCTGTTGCAGCCTGCGCTTCTCCTGTAAGCATGGGAAGTAGGCGAAGGCCCCACTCCTCTGCCAGCCACCGGTTTGCATCTGCAACAGCCTCGAAGGTCTCCAGGAATGCTTCCAAGTCATCCTCTGGCATCATACAGTACAGGATAATTGGTGGGCCTCCTGCTTTAGCGGTTGTGCTGGTAAAAGTGTCACTGTCCGCTCCGTCAACATCCACAGGATCGCGTCTGCTGCTCCACCTGTTGATGCAGTCCCTCCATCTGTTGAGTACAGCGCTCTGCCGACTCACAGTTGAGTTGCGCCATTTCTGCCAACATCTGGCCTAGCACTGCGACCAGTGGGGGCGCTGTTTCATGTCCCGGCTGCTGCATGGTCAGTCGCCACTGATTGCCGTGGTTGTGGGTGTGGCCCTACCTTGGGTGCCAAATGTAGCAGTCTCGGCTACTTCTCCAGGGTGCACACATGCACAACACAACACTGTTTCTGCTTACTCTCACATTTTATTAACCTGTTCAGGGTATCGGGTAGTTGTCCCGTTCCTCAGCAGACTCTGAGCCACACCGGCTCCTCATGTCTGCTCCTCCTCTCTTCTTCAGAGAATCTCAGAGAATCCAACTAACAATGTAGTTTGAGTGTTCCCAGCACAACACATCCCTTTGTTGAGGTCAAGCAGCTTATCAATTACGCCTAACAGCTTCTGAATTTTTGACACATTAAGAACCTACCTGCTCCAAATATCAATGACCCAGTTATCATGAGTCCAATTACATAAACATCTTGCATGTTTTCTGAGAACAGCAGTGACATACACATAATCTTCCACTCACCCTGGGAATCCATCATGTATCCAGCTGAGTGTATTCTGTTAGGGCAGAAAGGGACTCCCTTTGCCATTCCTAATGTGGAGAATATTTCATCACTTGCATCGACAGACCGGCTGACCAGATCTGTGGTTAAAAATAAATAAATCTAAAGAAAAATGTGGAGAGGCCCTCCAAATGGACTGACAGGACGAAGACAGCAGCAGACAAGACAGGGTTAGGAAGAGGGAAATAAAAAGTGTCTGTTGTCCTCGAGAGCAGGAAAGTTATGGAGTTTGCCCAGATATATCCAAATGGGGCCCACCAATGTATGCTGGCTGGGAGACGACTAAAGTGTGACGGAAGTGAAAAGCGCCTCAATCACTGCTCTGATAGTCTTCACTCCTGTCTGATGTTACGGTATCTTCAGCTATGCTGCTGCACAGATGGATTCAGATGGTTCTAGATGACATTTGGATGTGAAGTCACTGTAAATGCAACATTTTTATAGTGATGACATCCTGTTGAGGATGGACACGTCGTAAAAAGACCTAAAACTGACCCAGAAACAGGTCAGCTGCTTTAGTTATAATAGTTATAACACCGTGGGCAACATGAATCCTCAGCTGACCAGTGGAAGTGATAAACACAGAATTTAATCAAACAGAAAAGTAAAATCCAGAAGGATCCAGAAGGGGGCCTCGGTGACCTGCTGTTTCTATGCATTTGTTGCTTGTGGTCCTGAAAACAATTGATCCTGATCAGAATCTAAATCAAACCCTCTACATTTCAGTCCTCCAGCCAATTCTAATCCTGATGTGTGTTTCTGTTGTTGCAGTCAGAAACATTTACCACCGCGGATGCTTCAAGATGACCAAGAGCACCACTGGCACTTTCCCCGTCTACTCATTCCAGCCAAACCTCACCATGCAGTCCTGCATCGAGACCTGCACAGACAAGGTCCCAATCACTGTCAGCTTCCTCCTGCTTACACACACACACACACACACACACACACGCACACACGCACGCACGCATGCACACACGCACACACACACGCACACACACACACACACACACACGCACATGTGCATGTGCGCACATGTGCGTGTGTTGGGGAAGTGCGACAAACTGAAACAGGAAGTGTGTGATGGATTTGATGCTGCTGACCCTGAGATGAAACAGAGAAGGATTCTGGGAAATCTCTGTGTTTGTGCTTTCAGGAGCTGCCTCTAGCCGTGTTCAGGAAGCCGCACTGTTTCTGCACACAGACGTCGTCTCTTTTTAGTGTCAGCCAGGCGGAAGACAAGCAGCTGTGCGTGGAGAGATCGGACCTGAACCACACTGCTGCCGCTGCCTCCACGGGCCCAGCAGAGCACAACCACTACCAGGTGTATCACACTCCTGTGCTCGGTGAGGGTCTCATTAAGAGGATGAAACCGGGTCATCCCGAGCTGGTTCCAGGCAACCCGTTGGATGATTCCGTTTATTCCCATCCCTGTCTTCCCTTTTCACTAATCACAGGAAAAGCTCCGATCCGATTTCATCCTATAAAATGTCATTTAACAATAAGCGCTGGTAGGAGTGGTTGGTACTCTTGAGTGTTGCATCATTTCTCTGGGGAACACCACTCAGTAAATGACAGATGAGGAAATTATACCTGAGAGCTGTTTTCACCTCAAATTTCCTGAAATCTCACCTCAGATCCATTTTACTACTCCTGCAGTCATGCTGCCGCTTGTGTCACACGAGGCTTTCTGTGTCAGTTGTTCTGAAAATGGCTCCGTTTGAGCTTTCTGCCTCTACTGTGAATGTGGCTGACACTGACAAGAAAAATAACTTTTGTTGCAGACTCCAGGTGCAAAGAGAGGATGTTTCTGCCTCAGAGGTCTGCCTCCCTGGTGGCTCTCTCTAGTTTTCCGGGTGCAGGCAACACCTGGGTCCGGCACCTGATCGAGCTCGTGACCGGCTTCTACACTGGCAGCTTTTATTTTGATGGAACTCTCTACAATAGAGGTAGATGGGGCTCACCTGTTGAAATGTGCAACTCTTAGCTGAAACGTTTCCTGTAGCTGAAAATTTCTCCAGGTTTCAAGGGGGAGAAGGACTACTGGAAGAGTGGCCGCAGCATCTGTGTAAAGACTCATGAGAGTGGTCAGAGGGACATCCAGATGTTTGATTCTGCCATCCTGTTGATCCGAAACCCATACCGCTCCCTGATGGCTGAATTCAACCGCAAGTGCGCCGGGCACTTGGGACATGCCACCGATGCTCAGTGGAGCAGTAAAGGTGAACACACACACATACTTGTGTTTATATGTTTGTGTGGATCTCCATTGACTTCCATTCATTTCAGTGACTCAGTATATAAAAGAACACACACACACACACACACACACACACACACACACACACACACACACACACACACACACACACACACACACACACACACACACACACACACACACACACAGAGGTCTGAGCAAAAAGAAGATTGTACACATCAGTAATGTTAATATGTTAGAACAGGATTTCTGGGATCAGTCTCTCAGGAAAACACAGGTGAACAACAATAAAACACCAGAGTTGCCTGCTGTCCAGGGGCGGCGTTAGGCCCGGCTACTTGGGCTGAAGCCCCGAATGTTTTATGAAAAGCCCCGGATCTAAAACGTGGAAGTAACATGCAGTACCAAAGTCCAACAGAGAGGGAGCAGCTGGCAGTAGTTTGTATACAGCCTGCCTGAGCCTCCACCACTGAAGAAGCCCTTCAGCAGCCAGCTTCTTCTACAGTCTCTGCCTGAAACGCATGAGTGAAGATGGACATAAGGATGTTTTTTAGACCAAAAGTACAACGACAGAACCCCAGCTTTGATGAGACTGGTGTTGACTCAGGTTTGTGAGTCTTATTTGAAAATATTTGTTGTGCTGCTGGTTTGCCTAAAGTTAGCTTACTATCAGGTAAAGTTGTTGGAGAAAGAAAGGGAATATTTACTATCATCTCACACTAAACACTAACAGGAACTATACTCCGCCCTGAATATGCTTAATATGTAGCTTCAGATTAAAAATTATGTGGTACAAGACAAATATGTATGTTGACTAGTGCGTGTCACGTGTGTGTGTGTGTGTGTGTGTGTGTGTGTGTGTGTGTGTGTCCGCGCGCAAGTGCTAAGCCCTGGATCTTCTTCAGTCCTAAATCTGCCCCTGCTGCTGTCTGATGTTCTGGGAATCCTAAATCCATCCATTTTTGGGTGCTTCTCCGGAGTCAGGCCAGCAGCCTGAGCAGTGAGGCTCAGACTTCCATCTCCCAGCTAGTGAAAGGCTTTTTAAGTCAAAGCTCCTAAGTTAGAAACAGCCAGTTCTAAAGTGTTTTCTTCGCTGCTCCACATGAGATTAATTCTGATTATTAGACAGTAAAGAAATAAAACCCAGGGAGTCAACGTGTTGTTTGTAACAGCCCAAACTGTCTTCTGTCATCCACAGAATGGCCCGAGTTTGTCTCCAGCTACGCGCCGTGGTGGGCCTCCCACACTCTGGGCTGGCTGAAGTTTGGACGGCGCCTTCTGGTGGTGCATTATGAGGAGCTGCAGAGAACTCTTCTCCCTCAACTGCGTCTAATTGCAGCTTTTCTGAACGTCTCTATCACTGAGGAGAGACTTCTTTGTGCACAGAGCAACCAGGATGGACATTTCAGACGCTCGGGGGCCCAGCAGCCCTCCACCGACCCTTTCACTCCTGACATGAGACAGATGATTGACTCCTTCATTCTCTCTGTGGACCAAGTACTGCAGAGCAGGAACTTTAGTGGACTTCCACAGGACTACCTCCCAAGATGATGACCTGACGACGTCCTTCAGATCCTTCTGGTTAAGGAGACACTTTTTGGGAGAGACGTTTTGCTTCAAATGCTGATCAGGAAGCAGCCACAGGCTGACGGATGCAGCAGGTCGCTGGAGAATGAACCCAGTACCATTCACTGTGAACTGCTACAGAGAAACTCGGGATCCTCCAGCTCTTCTCACTCAGCAGAAGGTGTTCACACACCTACAGAGACTGATTCAAGCATGAGCGTCAAAACATGAGTCAGCAGTCTTTGGTGTTTTTAGGATTTAGCTGCAGAGAACATTTGGAGTACTTACTCCACATCCATGATCAGAAGATCCACCTGCAGACAGATGATGAACTCAGAACCACTGTGGGTCAGCTGTTAAAGGCCCAGCTGGATGAGAGGATCAAATTCAATCCTCTGTGGAGAAAGTCTGAAACTGCTGCTGGCGAACGGCCCCTCCACTCTGTGTGAATTTATAAAAATAATTTAATTTCAATAAAGATTTGAAATGAGTGTAGCTTTTTTCCTGTTTTAATTATGTCCCAGATCTGGTTACAGACAAGGATAAGAATCTGTTCCTTTACTCTGAATCGGAGTCTGTAATCTTTTAGATCAGATTTGATTTTTACAGTTACAGAAGATGGTCATTACTCCACAAACACAAACTCAGCCACAACGTTCCAGCCTGTCAGGAGAAAAGGAGCCGCATCTCGTCAAATATTTGCTTCTTCGATTCGTTAGTCCACTCAAATCTTGAGTTAATGTTTAGACTGGAAAATTAGTTTTAACCCAGTTAACCTCTTGAACCCCAGGCCTTTTTTCAGAGATTTTCTTGAAAAAAACGTGCCCAAAATGAATTGAGTATATCTCATAAACTACAAGGTTCATTTGAGCTGTTTTGGTATCAAAATAAAGGTAAGACTCTAAAGCTTACTCTGAAATTCTAACGAGTATCGCTTATCTCACTGATTGAGAGTAACAGAATCTGGAACACAGCAGAAATGAGAAATAAATCTGTTCCGCCTAAAAAAAAAACACTTTGATGTTAAAATTCCTTCTAAGATACCTAGCTGCAGCCTCAAACATCTAGAAATCCACAGAATAGAGTATGAACATTTGCTGACCCACAAACCATGGAAAAAAAGGAAGTATAGAAAACTTAGAGAGGTTTTAGTTGATAGAAATCCAGGCGGAACCTCTCCTGGACCATTTTGGCCACCTTTTGGCACAGTTTGTGCCGTTGGGAAATTCTCAGGTTTTTTCTTTAGGTTCTTTTATCCTTAATTTTTTATCTTATATTAGAAAGTTTTTCCATCTAAAAAAAATGGGTTTTCGGGGAAAATCCACCCAACATATTTATCCATTCAGAATAAGGGAAAATCATACAGAGGAATTAATTTGTCTCCTAATGGAGCAAATTTATTAACAATAAAATGTAAAATAGAATTTCAGAACAAGGAAACCATGAAAACTGATCAATTATACATAAAAATAAAATAATCAGGTTGGCCATGAAAATGTAGAAATCACTCACTGTCAGAGCTACACAAACAAATGTGAGGTTACCACGTAGTAAAGATGAGCTTTGGAGCTTTTCCTTTCCTTGGGTTTGGAGCAGAAGAAGATGGGCTTGGCCATGCGTGTTGCTGAGCGAAGGATACCTGTCCAGGTGATGGTGGTTGGTACTCCTCATCCATTTCATCACTATTCACTGTAAAGTCACATGGAAAATAAAACATGTAAAAAGATATCCATTCACAACAACACTGATGAGGATATGCTTATTTGGACAGGATTGTGTACATAAATATATATATATATATATATATATATATATATATATATATATAAATATATATATATATATATATATATATATATATATATATATATATATATATATATATATATATATATATATATATATATATATATATATATATATATATATAACCAATCATGACAGGGTTGGCTGGGTAAATAGCAGCCTGCATGTTGACCACAAGGTGGTGGTACAGGGCTTCTGGTGAGGAGGCAACCTCTGATCTGGATCCAGGGTTATGATAGAGCAGCCAGTCTTCAACAGGACCTCCATTTGATCAGCAGACTCAGTGTTTCCATCCTTGTAGAAATCTGGGGAGCATGTGATTATCTTTAGTCAGCATGTGAGATCCATTTGGAGCTGGTTCTTCTGCCACATGTGTTCTTTTTGTATTCTCTGGTGTAAAGAGTTGTCAGACACTACTGCCTGACATATGTCTGTCTCTGACTGCAGAAACCTGAACAGATGATGTCCTGCCTCCTTAGACAGAGAACATGCTAACTCTGTCTTCTCTGTTCCAGCAGGTGATCAGAACACAGCTGACGTCTTTGAGACGGGGCTCCATGATGGACGTGTGATGTGTGCAGGCACAAGTGAGCCTGTGAAGATGGAGACATCTGTATGCTCAAGCTTCCTGGTCCTGCAGCGTGCTGCTCAGTGTTCATGGCAGGACACGAGGAAGTGCACGCTCATCTCGTTGTGAGGAAAATCATGAGAGGCTGTCAGAGAAGGACAAATCAATTAAATCACAGTCCAGAAACTCTAAACCAACAAAATTCTCTATCATTGAGCATCATCACTACACAAAGAAAAATGATCAGAGTCACCTGATTACTCTCCAGCTGTAGTAGGTAATCAGAAATCACAACGTGTGTGTGTGTGTGTGTGTGTGTGTGTGTGTGTGTGTGTGTGTGTGTGTGTGTGTGTGTGTGTGTGTGTGTGTGTGTGTGTGTGCGTACGTGCGTGCGTGCATGCGTGTGTTGGCCTGGAGACAGGCTTTAGCTAAAGCTGGTTTATATATATATATAAAGAGAGAGAGATACATATATATATATATATATATATATATATATATATATAGAGAGAGAGAGAGAGAGAGAGAGAGAGAGAGAGAGAGAGAGAGAGAGGAAACCCCAAGGTCAAAGTGGAAAACACCCCCTGAGGTGGTAAAGAATGAGTAAGCCAGGATGCTTTGGGACTTTCTGATTCAGGCCAGCCAGCAAAAACATGATGGCGGACCAACCGGACATTGTGGTGGTGGACAACAGAGGACAGCCGTTGTAGTTGATGTGGCTGTCACGGGCCCGCTGGTGAGTGAATGCAGAGGTGAGGATCCATATGCGGGTGCAAAGGCAGGCAGGCAGGAAGGGTTTACAAAAGGTTTTAATAATAACACGCTGGACTACTGAAACAATGAGCCAACAAGAGACACAGAACTGAAGGGGTTTAAATACATGAGGGCTGGGAGCTTGGGTGATTGGAAAACGAGAGGCAGCAATTAACAAAGACACATGACTGAACAGAATGGGGAGACAGGACAGGGTGTGACAGTGGCAATACCAAGTGACGGTAATATCAGGAAAAAGGAACATGAGAAACTAGAGAAGTACCAGGGCCTCAAAGAAGAACTTGTGAAAGCCTGGAGAGTGAAGACATCGGTGGTGCCCATGGCCATTGAGGCACTCGGGGTAGTAACCACCAGACTGGAGGAAAACATCAGACATCTCAGTCCAGAAAAGTGTTGTTCTAGGAACAGCTAAGATACCATAGAACCCTCAAACTCCCAGGCCTCTTGTAGAGGACCCGAGCTTGGAAGGGTAAGACTACCCACGGAGGCTGAGATGGGAGTATTTGGGGATTTTCATATATATATATATATATATATATATATATATATATATATATATATATATATCAGGGGTGGGAATTTAACCTGTTAGTTATGATTAATTAGTTTAAAAAAAACAGTGTTAATAAAAATGGGCCCTGGATGCCCCAATTGGGTGAATGCAGAAGGTTAGCCACAAAATGCATGTCCTAAATATCAATAAATATCATTAAGATAAACCTGTAAAAAAAAAAGAAGTGCTCCAAACAGCTAAAACCACAATCAAATGAGTGATCGGAAATCCTTCTTTATCTGTGAGTGCTTCTGACTTCATCTTTGTTGCTGCTAAAAATCAGCTTGAACACACATTTTATTCACAGCCCTCCTGATTCTACAAATGTATCTCCCAAAACGCTGCACTTCAGTTCCCCAGAAACAGAAGCCAGAGAGCAACAAAACAGAAATCCTTCTTTTCCCAGCAGAACAGCGTCTTACCTTTGATGTTTTAAAACTTCTTATCGGTTACTACTCGCTCTAACCCTAGGGTCACACTACAACAGTTTAGGTGGAAAACAAAGTCATGTTGGTAGAAAAAACAGGCCTACAACTCAAACATCCAGCAGGACTTTTCACTTTTCTGGTTTGTGTGTTCGTGTTCTGACACATCTCATTGGCTGAATAAGCTATCAATCTAATTTTTGTGGGTAACACTTTATTCTATTGGCCCTAACAATCAAAAATCAGAACTGACCAATCAGTCATGGAGATATAAGGCTGCATAGTGAAGCTTCTGGAACAGCTCCAGCCCATGCCAGCCACAGACATATGGATATGTGGACGCCTCGTGGACTGGTGCTGCCCATTGGAGCTGCCATAGTGGCCGGCCACTGGTGCATTCATTTGTGCTGAGGAAGGTGCTTACCAGACTAAAACATATATTTCATCAAGCTTTATCACAAAATCAGACACAATGAAAGGAAAGATGATTAAAATGTAAACAAAATGAAACAAAATAAATAAAAAAATAATTTAAATATAAAATCCTATCAAATAGGCTAGAGGTCACAAGTTGTAACTGTAGGCTGCACAAAAAACAGGCCTCATTGGTCGCTCTGCATTGACTTTGGAGAGTGAGGAGACACATCCAATATGGCGACGATGCTGTTACGCTTCCCAGCACCCAGTGGGGCATTTACGTATTCATGTCTATGCTGCCAGCAGTTTCTGTTATGCATGACCGATGTGCATGACATGCAGCAGCAGTTCAAAACAACTTTATTCATCACAAACTTATTTTACATTGTCATTGTAATTTTTTCTGTTTGTAGTCACTTCAGTTATTCAATTTTATAATAAACAGACATACATTTTATTATGTTCAAGTCTATTTAGTAATTTCTATTTTAGTAAAGTAAGTAAGTAAAGGATTTTGTGCATGATAATAATATAGTATTATTATTATTATTATTATTATTATTATTATTATGACTATTATTATTATCATCATCATTTTAAAGACAAAACCATGATCCAAATGTAGTTAAAATGGTATTGTACTTTTAGGTCTATACTAGTTTTTGCCAAGGATATAATTATTTTTTTGTTGTGAATTGAAATGCAATTTAAAAACTTTTTTTTTTAGAAATTACAAGAGCTTGAGTTGTCTATAATAATGTCTATTATTCTATGTAAAATATTTCTTTGGGACAAATTTTCTTGAACAAAGAATTTTGATTATTCAAGATTATTTAATTGTAAAACATATATATATATATTTGTTTGTTTTTCAATTAAATAATATCTCTGTGCTTCGCCTACCTTTGTGCGGTTTGTGTGATACATTTAAGTGTGATATATTTTTGTCTGACTTTTTTCACATTTTTTCAGAAAGAATACAGAAAGAGCATTTTCTGCCTTTTATTTGGATGATTTAAATGATTAAACAATTTTTTCATTAGAGCTGTTGGAATTTGGTTAAATGTGAAGCATCAAATTAGACCTTTAGTAATAAGCCAAACAGCCAAAACTTTTTTATTTGTGTTAACAGGTGCGTGTGATTATTATGCAGTACCTGAAACTGTTTTCACCGTATCAAACGTCTGTTTGAACATCTTCTCACAAATCTGATTTCTGTCTCTTTGATTCATGAGAACTTTCTGCTTCTTCTCATAGATGGATAAACATGCACAAAGTGTGTATCCATTTGCTGCCAAGTTTCATGCTGGAACACACACGCTCTTGAGAAGAGTTTATGTTACCAAGGCTCATTTGCAGCATGTGAGAGGCCTGCATGTTTCTGCTTCCCTCTCGTCACTGTGAGACTCCCCGAGGCCCCTGAGAGAAAGCCAGTCAGCAGATCCTGATAACACGTACAAGCACAATGTTTGTTTTACCGTCCCCAATCAAAGTGGCCATTGTGCTTAGCCTGGGTTAAACTCCCAGGCTTCACAGGACGCTTTTAGAGCTCAGGGACGTGTTTCCAAAATGTGGCTGAATCATTGTCACAGGGCTTCTATTGCACCCCCCCCCCCCCCCCACACACACACACACACACACACCCACCCTCTCTCTCACACACACAGACACCCTCTCACACACACACACTTTCAAGTGCTGCAGCAATTCACCTCAGCACAGCAGGGGGTGAGGAGGAGTAGTCAAGAGTGTTAATTGAGTTTATTTATGGGGTTAGCAGTCTATAATATTTACACCGTTGCCTGAACCCGACTTAAACTATTTTCATTTTAGATTCTGTGTAGAAGCTTAGCTGTTCAAGACCTGAGAGCTGTCAGTGATCAGATTCAAACTGAGTCTGATCAACTGGTCCGACTTGCCCCCTCCCTTCCCACTTTTAAATGGTAAATGGCCTTGTTTGATATAGCGCCTTCTAGAGTCATGGAACCCCCCAAGGCGCTTTACAACACGATCAGTCATTCACCCATTCACACACACATGCACACACTGGTGGGGATGAGCTACGATGTAGCCACAGCTGCCCTGGGGCGCACTGACAGAGGCGAGGCGGCCGACCACTGCCGCCACCGGTCCCTCCGACCACCACCAGCAGGCAACGTGGGTTAAGTGTCTTGCCCAAGGACACAACGACAGCGTCAGACTGAGCGGAGCTCGAACCTGCAACCTTCCAATTACGGGGCGAGCACTTAACTCCTGTGCCACCGTCGCCCCATTAAAGTACGGTATGTTTGAAGACTTATTTTTATTCCCTGGCCTTCCCGGCGGAGACTGTTTAACCCTTGTGCTTTCCTGTTTTTTGTTATTATGGTTTTTATTTGCTTTATCTATTTTATGTTGCTGTGTCTAGTTTGGTGACATATTGTCGTGTGCAGCACGTTGGTTGGCGTTGTCGCCGTTTAAATGTGCTTTATAAATAAAGGTTGATGATGATGATGATCATCCGACTGAGGCAGGACCTAAAACCAAATAAGGACAAAAAATTAGAAAATAAAGATACGTTTGTCTAAATCACAAGGAAGTTTGCATGAAGGTTTTGCAAACACAGATGTTTATTAGCAGTTTCAAAAAATTGTTAAATTATTAGAATTTTGGGTAACAATATGTAATGTTTTGTTATTAAACATTTATAAGTCATTAGTAAGTTATTAACGGATCATTTAGAAGGTAATATAATATATTGGTGAGTAACACACACACACACACACACACACACACACACACACACACACACACACACACACACACACATATATATATATATATATATATATATATATATATATATATATATATATATATATATATATATATATAAAATGATTAACTACACATTTACAAACACTAACAGATTTGGTAATGTTTATAGGACATATTTAACTTTCTAACGTCACAATTGTCATTGGTTATCTATATAAGACTACGATGCACCAGTGATTTATCAATGATTAAACATTTTTAAATGATCATTGAAATGTTTTCAAGGTAAATTAAATACTGTTGAAATGTTAAAAATAATCCAGACATTTATAAACTCGTTTCAGGTTATTTATTTTTCACTTTCTTTTGAATACACGAGGGACTCTAAAACTCTTTCAGAAATCATTAGTTTGTCAAAGAAAGTGAACTTATGAAGGTTTGGAACCTTTGTGGGAAATCCCTGATCGTATGTAAATGTGAACCTTTTCAGATTTGATAATGGTTTATTTCTTGGGGTTTACTGCTCTCAAGGTTCTTCTGACCTCATGCTCCTGGAGCATGAGAGAGGGAGGAGTGGGGGTGCTCACGTTGTGGGGCGGTTGTAAAAGTGGGTGGGCAGTGGTTTCAAAATGGGCAAAGAAGTTGTTTAGCTCCTCTGCCTGTGTTCAGCTGCTGCCAGTGTTGGACAGAGCGTTGCCTCTGTAGTTGGTCAGAGTCTGAATCCCCTTCCACATCTTCTGGGGATTGTTGCTTCTGTTTTCCTCCTGTAGACTCTCTTTGCCTAGTGAATGCCCTTCCTCAGACTAGTTCTGGCTATGCGATACAAGCTGCTGTTACCTGACTTGAAGGCAACATTGCGGGCTCTGATTAGAGCCTGGACCTCTGATGTCATCCAGGGCTTCCTATTTGGGAAGATCCAAATCTGTTTGGTCACTGTGACCACTTTTCTACACAGGTTCTGGTGTAGGATAGCACCGTCTCTGTGTGTGCCTCCAGGTCCTGTTGTTCAAACACTCTCCAGTCTGTGCAGGCAAAGCAGTCCTGTAGCTGAGGGAGGGCTTCAGCAGGTACCGTGGTAATGGTGTGTGTTGTGGGCTTTGTTTGTTTCCTGAGGGGGAGTGTAAGCTGGGATGAGAAACATGGAGAGCTGGTGAGACTGTCCAAGATGGGGAAGGGGTGTAGCTCTATAAGCATGCTTGATGTTGGTATATACACGGTCCCGTGTATTCTTACCCCGGGTTGCCAACTTGACATGTTGGTGGAGTTAGGGGAAAACAGTCTTTAAGCATGCTTTATTAAAGTCCCCAGCTATTATGTGTACTCCATCTGGATGAGCCTGCTGCTGTTTGGTTAAAAAGTGATGAAGCTGGATGATTGCAGCGCTAACGTTAGCATTAGGTGGGATATAAACAGCAGTAGCAATGGCTAGCGTTAGCTCCCGTGGCAGATAGAATGGCCTGCACTGGACGGACAGAGCCTCTAAGTCTGATGAGCAAAAGGTATTTATTACTCTGCTGTTTCGGCACCGGTTTTCATGCACATAAAATGGTAAATGGTAAATAGCATTTATTTGATATAGCACCTTCTAGAGTCCTGGAACCCCCCAAGGCGCTTTACAACACTATCAGTCATTCACCCATTCACATGCACATTCACACACTGGTGGGGATGAGCTACGATGTAGCCACAGCTGCCCTGGGGCGCACTGACAGAGGCGAGGCTGCCGAGCACTGGCGCCACTGGTCCCTCTGACCACCACCAGCAGGCAACATGGGTTAAGTGTCTTGCCCATGGGCACAACGACAGCGACAGACTGAGCGGGGCTCGAACCTGCAACCTTCCGATTACGGGGCGAGCACTTAACTCCTGTGCCACCGTCGCCCACATAAACACAGCGTCCTCCTCCTCTGGTCTTGGCTTTAATCCCGATCAAGGCGATGGAGCACATAGCCGGTTAGCTCAACGCTGGCGTCTGGAATGTGCGGGTGGAGCCAGGGTTCTGTAATAATCAGCAAACAACAATCACAAATGGTGTGGTTGTAAGCAAGCTGTGATTGCAGATCATCCATTTGGTTGGAATGAGACTGGGCATTTAGGAGCAGAATGGATGGTAGCGGCGGGCGGTGTGGTTTCCTCCTTAGTTGTGCTAGTAGGCCTGCTCGGCAGCCTCGCTTCTGTTTCCTGTCTCTGCGCCGTCTACGATGCCTTGCAGAGCCGACAACAGTCCACGGAGCTCCGGCTCGTCTGGCTATCTCTGGTGGAATATAGTATGTCCGGGTGAATTCAACTGTTACTTTAGTATTTAGCTGAGATTTGATGGCCAATATCTCCTCACCCATGGCAGAAGTGGGCTGATAAAACAAGACAAACAACTGTGCCTAGTTGCTGGGAGCCATGAGCCGCTGAGTCCGTGCGCGCCGCCATCTCTCTGCATAATAACAGAACTCTCACGATAACAGAACACATTTTGTGTAATTATATCAAAATAAACAAAATTTACCTGGTTAGAAAGACATACAAGTCAACAGATGGCTATACCTTATTCATGTCTGGACATGAGGGGCAGATATTTAACTTTCACGACGTGGGTAGGTGGTTTATCCACTAGAACTCTGACTTTGGTGATTTTATCAGCTGGAAACCTGTAAAATGTTCCGTTACAGTCCTTCTTTCATTTATCTGTGCAGCCTACAGAGCAGCGTGTGTCAAACATGCTGATAGATTTCATTTTGTCGCTACAGCTCAATTTATTAACAACTGACAGACAGATAATAACAATGGTGCTCAGCGGGGCTGTACCGTCTTCTTGCCCCCAAGTCAGAAGCTGGGGGGGGGGGGCGGGAGCTTGGGCACGTGACGCGTCAAGGGGTCTAAAACTTTACTTAACACCCCCACCCCAGATGCGCACAAGCCTGCTGTGCCCCCCCCCACACACACACTTCTGAAATCAAAATTCCGTCCCTGTGTATTCGTGATCATTTTGATAATCCTTTATAAATCACAGGTGCGTCAAAATTTTACATATTATTAAATATGATTGTGACTTTAGAAAGTTTTACATAATCTATAAACCATTATCAAATCTGGAAAGAGTGTTTGTAAATGTTTAGATAATCATTGCTAAAACATTTGTAAATGTCATCACAGCCCCTGAAAAAGAATTGTATAATTACCTAATACCTTATAAATGATTTATTAATGACTTACTAAACACTTAGAAATGTACTTGTAAATGTTAGCATAAGCTTTATAAGATATTTGTACATCATTATCTAATAGGGATGTGTATTGGTGAAAAACTGGCGATATGATACGCATCACGATAGAGGGGAGGTGATACGATATATCATGATATATTGCGATACATTCAGTCAGATGATATTAGCAACTTTTCAGACTGAATTTACTGTAGGAAAATACAATAAACAGTCTGAACTGATAAGTAACATGTTTAGCATGAGGTATCTGAACCATAATACAGGGATTTACATTTAAATGGTAGAAACAAAACTCATTGTACACTGCTGCCAACTAGTGGTCAGCATTTTAATTGCACCAAAATAAAAAAAAAATACACATATGGTTGCATGTAATTTATTCCCAAAAAATAAATACACGGCTTTTGAATATCAATGTAATATCACAGGAAAGAATATCATGATATATTGCCATATGGATATTTTCTTACATTCCTATTATCTAATACCTTGCAAATGATGTGTTAATGACTTACTAATGACATTCTAAACACTTATAAATGTTCAGTAACAGAGCATTACTATGAAGTGTTATTTTCTTGTTTCTGCACATTGTTCTCAAACCCCCCGTTGGTCACGGCGCATGGCTGCTCAGGCTGAGCCAGGTTCTGTTAAAGGGGAGTTTTCCTCTTCACTGTCGCTACATGCATGCTTAACGTGGGCATTGCTGTAATGTCTTTTTATAGATGATGCAATCTGCTGGGTTTGAAACGTTTAATAAGTGTGATGAACTGAACTCAGTGCCCTGATCAGTAGGTTCAACTGGAATGTTTACTTCGAAAAGTGCTTGAGACAACTCTTGTGATTTGGTGCTTTATAAATACATCCTTACACACAGTTCTTTGTGGAAGCTGTGGCAACCCTTCAGGTGGTTCTTCTGCAGATCACTGGTTTGTGTCTGTATGTGTTAAGTATCAGCCAGAAGAAGCTCTCTGAGAAGCCGATGTGCTCCTCTGCAGCAACGTGGTCATCACAGGACCTGGTTCCAGAGTTTATGTGTTACAGCAGGTCAAACACAGAAATGTAAACCACAGAAAGCAGAGCACTCTGCTGCCAATTTTTATTTCTCACATCAGGCGAAACAGCCTGAGGTTGTGGAGTTCTTCTAGTTCTTTATTTTTTTAGATGGATGTTTCATTTGACTATCTGCGGGTCATTTTATAGTCGTGGGACTCAGGAGGACAAATCCTAACTGAAAGGCATCATGCTGGATGGATTTACGGCCCAGAGGATCACTAAAATGCTACTTAGAAAATGTAACAGAGGCCTTTCCATTGGTGCTGCAGACAGAACTGCTGTTTTTTATTATCCTGACTTTAATAAGGACAAGCTGGTGGTGCGTTTTCAGCATTAGTGTAGTTTTAATGCTCTGAATGCTCGTGGGCCACAACATTTGAAGCAAAATCCAAACTAAGTGAAAGTCATGAACGGGCTCTGAGACTTTACTGAGTCCATCAGAAAATCAACAACAGCTTCAAATAACTGTTTCAAATAAGAAATAAAACTAAAGCATTAGAAGCTGCTCATGCTTTTAGGAAACTTTCTTTAGTTTTGACCTGAGCTGTAATTCACGTAACTAATTGGCGTGATTTTTTTCAAGACTTTAAATTTAGTAGAGTTTAAAGTCCCTTTTAAATGTTAAAGCTCAACCAGGTTTATTGAAACTGTTTTCATCGTGTGGGTAAAAGTGATCCTCACTCTGAGTCTTATTAAAGGTGAACTGCAGCCAACGATTTGTGTGAAAACTGCTTAATAGACTTTGTCACAGCTAATCACAGCCATGTAATCCATTTAGAAATGCTTCTGCCAGACATTTATTTTGAAAGTGTAGCTTCTAACTGGACCTCCTGGTCAGGTCTGATATATGATCAGATGTGTGCTTCCTTTACTTCTGCTCTGACTGCAGCATTGAATGCCTCCTAAAGCTGCGTACACACCGGGCTGCTGCTCCGTCAGGCCTCGCATATGATGCAAACTGATAGGCCTCTCGGCCTGCTGCGGCCCGGCCTCAGCTGCACGCTTTGTTCAAGATCACGGGGTTAATGGGTTTCCGTACTGGGTGGTGAGGGAGGAGATGTGCAGCTTTCTCTCTGTGTTGCAAAAAACTTGGATGCAGCCTTCGTTGCCAGAGTCAGGGAGCTGTCTGCCTCTTTCCCAGCAGTGCCTGGGCTGGTGACAGGGAGATGGATGATATCTGCAGCCTGGCCGCACTGCTCCCCCAGAGCGCGCGCGCACACACACACACACACACACACACACACACACACACACACACACACACACACACACACACACACACACACACACACACACACACACACACACACACACACACACACACAAACACACACACACACACACTAGGAGCATGATTATCCGTGTGCTCCACCCTCCTTTGGCCACTAAACAAATATCCCAGATATCAGGTGGAATAAAACTCTCCCATGTGAAAACAATGATGATATTTCTTGTTTCATCTGTGTTTAGTTACAGAGTCGCTTTAGAATGACCAACCACACACCACACTTTTGTTTAAAGGCTTTTATTAAAGTCAGTGTTTACAGTTTGACTCAGAAATATCAGCTGCTGCATCTACACAGAACATCAGAACATTTTACATAACATAAATCACATTACACTTAGCGGTGTGTGTGTGTGTGTGTGTGTGTGTGTGTGTGTGTGTGTGTGTGTGTGTGTGTGTGTGTGTGTGTGTGTGTGTGTGTGTGTGTGTGTGTGTGTGTGTGTGTGTGTGTGTTAGGCCACCTTCTCCCCCTCCTGTTCTTGTTGTCCTTACCTGTTGTCCTGGTCTCCTCTGTGCTGCTGATGTTCCTACACTTAAGACCAAACCCAGCGGTCACCTGGGCGACACCCCACGCATACTAATGAGGAGCTGTGAGGGTGGGGTGAAGCATTCGACTGACTGAGAGTGGGAAAGAAACACATTCAGCTATCAGCCTGAAGCCTTCCTTGTCTCCTTCTCTTCTTCACTCTGGAGGAACAGAGAAAATGGGGGCTGGGAAAAGCAAAAAAACAGCAGAGAGGCAAGCAGAGAAAACATTAGAGGCAGAGTGGTGCAGGGTGGGGTGTAAAGGGGGGCATCCATCACGGTTTTAAATAACTGCAGAGGGACGATGCTGAGTAAAAGGTCGTCTGGTCTCTCTGAGCTTTGTGGACACCTGGGCAGAGCTGAGCAGCTTTCAAATGACTCCGGGCTAATTATCACGCCGGCTGGTGCCGCAGTCTGACTCAACCTACTCACACGATTCTGGAGACATGCAGGAAGACGAATAAGGTCATAAACAAACAAACAAGCATCTTCAGTAAACATCAAACCAGTAACACCAGTAAACAAGATTCAGGCCAGTTCCTGCTTTTCATCTTAGCTTTGAGCACAAAAAAACTATGATTATTATTATTGTTATTATTATCAGTAGTAGTAGTAGTAGTAGTAGTAGTAATATAGTTTATGATACAGTAAATGATAAATGACCCGCACTTGTATAGTGCCTCTCAGAGTAAGGACTCCAAAGCGCTTTACACTACAGTGTATCATTCATCCATTCACACACATTCACACACCGATGTTGATGAGCTACGATGTAGCCACAGCTGCCCTGGGGCACACTGACAGAGGCGAGGCTGCCGACCACCGGCGCCACCAGTCCCTCCGACCACCACCAGCAGGCAACGTGGGTTAAGTGTCTTGCCCAAGGACACAACGACAGCGACAGACTGAGCGGGGCTCGAACCTGCAACCTTCCGATTACAGGGCGAGCACTTAACTCCTGTGCCACCGTCGCCCATCTACTACTTCTACTACTACTACTACTACTACTACTACTACTACTAATACTACTAATACTAATAATAATAATAATAATAATAATAATAGCAATAATAATTATTATTATTGTAGTAGTAGTAGTAGTAGTAGTAATAGTAGTTGTTCTAGTAGATAATATAACATTTTAGCTTTTTGTTTCTCCTACAGTAATAATATTATATTTTATCACCATCAACTATATTATTACTACTACTACTTCTACTAATAATAATGATAATAAGAATAGTAGTAGTAGTAGTAGTAGTAGTAGTAGTAGTAGTAGTAGTAGTAGTAGTAGTAGTAGTAGTAGTACAGGTGGGAGTGGTGCACTTGTTTCAGGAATTAGCAGAAGGCCACATCACAGTTGAATTGAACACGACAGGATTTGGACTCTAATTTCCTCATTTTTGGACATCTTGCCTCATTTTGGTGAACAGCAACATGACTCCACCACTGACTGCTTTGCAATGCTGATGTTTTATCTCCACAAGTAGCACAAGCCTGGAGGAGTTTTGCTGTGTGGTGAGTTGCTAATGCTAACAGTTAGCCTCTACTAGCCGAAACGTTCTCTGCTGTTTCTTGGATGCTAAACCAACAACAGCCTTTCCCAATGTGAGTGAAGATGGGTGAGTCTATGAATGTTAAGTGACAGTGTGATGTAAATCTGTCAGGCTTTTCTAATCCTAGAGTTTCACTGTCTATTTTCTATCAGAAGCTGATGCAAGAAATAGGCGTAGGAGATTATTTTCATGTTCAGCCTGCATAAAGACTCCGAGTGACTGATTATAAACAGAAATAATCATTAAAAAATGTTTTATTGGGTTCTACACCTTTAAAACAAAATACTGAATGTTTAGTACATTGTGAATGAGTTAGAGTTTTACGTGTTTTGTTCTGTCATAACTGATGCCTGGAGCCAAACTCAGCTGCTGTACACAGCTCCCACTAGTGGTGTGGAGGGAAATTGTTCCATTTTCTCTTAAAGCATCCATCCATCCATTTTCGGCTGCTTATCCGGGGCTGGGTCGTGGGGGCAGCAGCCTAAGCAGGGAGGCCCAGACTTCCCTCTCCCCAGCCACTTGGGCCAGATCCTCTGAGGGAATCCTAAGGTGTTTCTTGGCCAGCCGAGAGACATAATCTCTCCAGCGTGTTCTGGGTCTTCCTTTAAGCCTTCTCCCAGTTGGACATGCCCGGAAAACCTCACCAGGAAGTGCTCCAGGAAGCATCCCAACTAGATACCCGAGCCACCTCAACTGGCTCCTCCCGATGTGGAGGAGCAGTGGGTCTACTCTGAGCTTCTCACCCTATCTCTAAGGGAGAGCAGCAAGCCTGAAATGTAAATGTAAATGGCTCTTATGAAACTTGAAGCAGAAGAAAGGTCCGCAAGAATGAGAAACTCAGAATGGTCGTCTAAGCAAGCCTCTTTCACCAGAAGGATTTTGACATAGTCAAAACCTTAAGCTTTTGCACCTGCGAAGCCGAACAACAAGATAGTCTTTTCCTGCAGAAAAGCGGATTTGTTTAGACTCCTTAAGAGTCCAAGACGCGTGGTTTCCATCCATCTGGTGTGACCTGAGACACACCTCTAGGACTGAAAGGATGGTACCTCGGTACTCTACAGCCCTCCGGTACCAGCAGTCATCCGACCCCCTCTGACTTTCGGATCCGTCAAGATGGTGCCTCTATGGGTAACGTAGACACGCAGATAGCATCTGTATGCAGTTTGATAAATAACAGCTTGTAGCTTACTTGCAAACAAAATTTTCTCCATCCAGGATTCGGCTTTCTCATGATACCGACTCTGAAATACTATATTCACACCTAGTTCCAGACACCCATCTCTTAGTTCGCATCCACTCACAGTAAATAATAGTTTAAACAATTTGTCAAGTCTTAAATTGTTTGTAAAATAAATTATTATTTGTTTGCAAACCTGACTGGTTCTTGAATCCTAGAGAAAGTGCTTCAACCAATCCACTGTCATCTGGACAAAGCAGGCAGCACTGTCACGGTCATGTTCTTTGATTTCTCCAGTGCATTTAACACAATCCAGCCCGATGTACTTTGCCAGAAACTCCAGAAGACACAGGTGAGGACCTCAACTATCGCCTGGATTAAAGACTACCTGACAAACAGACCACAGTTTGTGAGGCTGAAGAACTGCACGTCAAACCAGGCGATTAGTAACATTGGAGCACCACAGGGGACTGTACTCTCACCATTCCTTTTCACCCTGTACACCTCAGACTTCCGGTACAAATCAGAGACCTGTCATCTACAGAAATACTCAGATGACTCTGCAGTTGTCGGGTGTATCAGAGATGGACAGGAAGCTGAGTACAGAGAGCTGGTGGAGCGCTTTGTGGCGTGGTGTGGAAACAATCATCTGACCTTGAACGTGAACAAAACAAAGGAGATGATTTTAGACTTCAGAAGAAACAGGGTGGAGTCAAACACTGTTTCCGTCTTGGGAGAAGAAGTGGAGGTGGTTGAGGAATACAAATACCTTGGAGTTCACCTGGACAACAGACTGGACTGGAGAAAGTACAGCGAAGCCGTTTACAAGAAGGGACACAGCAGACTGCACTTCTTGAGGATGCTTAGGTCCTTCAATGTCTGTAGCAAGATGCTGCAGATCTTCTACAAGTCTGTTGTTGAGAGCGTAATCTCTTCAGCCATCGTCTGTTGGGGTAGTAGCATCAGAAGCAGGGACCTGAAAAGGCTCAACAGCCTAATAAAAAAGGCTGGTTCTGTTCTGGGGATGACTGTGGAACCACTGGAGGAGATAATGCAAAGAAGGATTCTCCAGAGAATCAAGAAAGTTACGGACAACCCTGCGCATTCTCTTCACTAGACTGTCCGACAACGGAAGAGTCTATTCAGTCAGAGGCTTCTTCAGTTTCGCTGCAACACTGACCGCTACTGGAGATCCTTCCTGCCAACAGCCATTGTAATATACAATAACTCTTTGATGACTTGATTATTATTATTATTCTGAGCTACTACAGCAATCAACTTCCCTCTGGGATTAATAAAGTATTTTTGAATTGAATTTGAATTTGAAGAAGACAAAACATCTTTGCTCAAGGCCTCATGCCAGACTGCTGCATGCTCACTCTAAATAAGTGTCAACCTACTCGAAGTTCCTACTGACTTTACAGTTCATAAGTTGGAATAATTCTATGTGTTGAATGAAAAAGATGTTTAAATCAAATGTTTGAATAATCTGTTTAATTCAGTTTCCAGCTGACTCCCGATTTGGCCAAATCGGGGAAGAAGCAATTTTGAAACCATCTCTTTTGACATCCGGTCAAAAGCCTCTCGCAATGCTGCGAGTGATACAGATACAAAACGGCTCTTCTAAGAGCCAATAACAGCCTTAGATGCAAACAAGCATTCCAGCTTCCTGTTGTGACCTGGAGATATCCCAAGACTAGATGGGTCTTATAGGAGCTAATCTACGGGTTCCTGGTACCTCGAGGTCCATGTTTATCATGACCTTGTGACTCCTCTGGATCTTAATGGGGATCTTCACATAAGGGTGCGTAGATTCAACAGATTGTGTCGGATGGTTTTTACAAATAAGTCTGTAGTTTAACAAACAACCAAATTTATTTTACAACCCAGACTTTACAAATTCTCAGATACTTAAGAAATGTTTTGCTAAGACATCTAGCGTCCATTACAACATCCCACACTTCACATTAAATCACATCATATCCATCATTCCATTCATATCTTGTCACCGGGCGTCGGTGGCACAGGAGTTAAGTGCTCGCCCCGTAATCGGAAGGTTGCAGGTTCGAGCCCCGCTTAGTCTGTCGCTGTCGTTGTGTCCTTGGGCAAAACACTTAACCCACGTTGCCTGCTGGTGGTGGTCGAAGGGACTGGTGGCGCCAGTGCTCGGCAGCCTCGCCTCTGTCAGTGTGCCCCAGGGCAGCTGTGGCTACATTGTAGCTCATCCCCACCAGTGTGTGAATGTGTGTGTGAATGGGTGAATGACTGATTGTGTTGTAAAGCGCCTTGGGGGGTTCCAGGACTCTAGAAGGCGCTATATCAAATACAGGCCATTTACCATGTATATTCATTAGTTTAGGGAAAATAAATAAATGAATTTTTATAAACTATATACTTGACTCTTTCTGAATTAATGCAAAGTGTGTTTATGGTCCCTGAATAAGTAAATCAAAGATCAATCAAGTTGATATTTCATATTTATATAGAGTTATCCCACCTTATTGATCATTTTTAATAAATATGTAGTCGATCATCACGCTACATCAGCATAACAGTGGAAGTTTATCCCATGCTGTCTAATGATTTTACCAATTGGAAATATATATATATATATATATATATATATATATATATATATATATATATATATATATATATATATATATATATATATATATATACATAGTAAAAAATGATCCAAGCACTCAACCCTATGGTACTCCACAAGTAACCCTGGAGTATGATGACGATTTGTCATGTACATTAACAAAATTAAATCTATCAGATAGGTAGGACCTAAACCTATGGGACTCAAAAGTATTCAAAATTCAATAAATAAATAAGACATTATCGAAATAAATATCTACATGAAGAAATACAAAATAATCATGTAATCTGACAATGAAATGATAAAATAACAATGTTATGTAAAATCTAAGCTCAATATTATGAAATGTTTTTTCATTCGTCTTTTAAAATGTCTTTATTAATATAATGTTTTTTCAAAAGTCATGTTTTCATAATATTCCAAATTAATATTGAGCCATTTTTATTTAATTCATTCAGTTTTTATTACATAACGTCGTTTTAACAAAGACAGCTTTTATTTCATAATAGTGTTTTTTCCCATGGTTGATTTATTTCATAATGAGACTTTACAGCAGAACACACATCTTAACATCCGTTACTATCTTAACACTTACACTGGTGTTAAATACTTAACCCTAGAGGAGTTGGTTTTTAACACCAATTCAGAGTTAAAGTACCAACTCTCCAAAAAGTGTTAAATTAACTATTACTGGGATGGACCCATATAGACACTTTAAAAGTGTTTAAATCAACTCTGATAGTTATTTTGAGCATGCTGAATTTGCTGTATGACCGTTAATGTAGTACAGGCCAATATTCGAGGATTTACGTTAGATACAGTAGTATTACAGATAAAGTATTACTTAATAGCCTTTGACTTTATACGTAAACATTTTTTCATTTATTCTAATAGGCTTGGTGAAGAAAGCGAGACAAAATATGCTGGTGGAGGTTCTTAAACATCCAGGTCATGGTAATTCAAAAGGGTTCAAACGAAGGAAACTGGACTTCTTGGTTCTTGAAAACATTTCACTTTTCATCTGTGGAGCTTTGTCAATTTTGACATATTATGAATATGGTAGAGTCAAGGTTATAATTTGTAGCTGTCTATTGGTATTTAATGAGCAGAAACGTCTCCGAGTACCCCTCCTCTCTACCCCCGAAGGGTCATTGGCCTCTATTGAATGGGAGTCGTGTTGATTAGATGCAGGAAGGTGTGACCAAGACTCAAATTGCTTAGGAATGTGATACATAATTGTTACAATTATACCTGACTGTGTATTTCTATATCTTTATGCCACCTCAGATTTTGTTTCACTGAAACTATTCATAATAATAACAATAATAACAACAATAATAATAATAATTATTATTATTATTTTTATTATCATTACATGGAGGTAATTTTGAAGAGAATTTAACAGTTAAGGATGAACAGTTTGAACTGGAAAAGTCCTACTGGTTTACCAGCCGGGTGGTGACTGGTTGCTGGGCTGCTTTGCTGTCAGGGTGATGTTGACTGGTGCTCAGATGGATCAGGCTAGTCTGTCTTTCAACAAAGTCGGTCTCCTTATTCAGCAAAATGAAGTTTGTGGGCTCCTCCGTGGATAATTCTCAACTTGCTGCTTTATTCCTATTGGTGGTGGTGTGTGTGTGCGTGCGCGTGCATGCATGCGTGCGTGTGTGTGTGTGTTCGTGTGTGTGTGTGTGTGTGTGTGTGTGTGTGTGTGTGTGTGTGTGTGTGTGTGTGTGTGTGTGTGTGTGTGTGTGTGTGTGTGTGTGTCAGACACCTCCCAATAAAAATGGCTATTTGTGGGCACCAGCTCTCCTCCGGTGTGTCCGGCCACGCCATGCTGGGCTGTTTGGTATTCACGCAGCACGGCGCTCCTTCAGGTGTTGCTGGAGGCTCCGTGGCATCGGCACGCATTGATTAGTTGGCATTGTTCACTATGACGCCACGTTAAGGTACAGGATGAAACAAGCCTAATAATTAGAGGAGGAAAGCGAAAGGAGACTAGCTGATGCTTTGTTTTGAACTGCCTCTGATCAGAGTCGTTTAGCAGAAATGAGGTTTGGAGAAAAGACGCCTTGGGAAAAACTTAACATTAAACAAACCAAGTCAGTGGCATTAGGGAGAATCCATATTCCTTTATTAGTCCTAATTCATCCTAATTGCAGCTGTAGAGTCATAAAGGGGTCTTCAGGTCTGTGTCTGTGATGACACAGACTTTGGTCAGAGTTTAGTTAGGAAATGGTGCAACAACAGCAAAAGCATGACAACTAAACAAAAACTGCTCCGAGAGCTTGTCAGATATAATTCTGCCCTGCTGCTGGAGGATAGCAGCTTCAGATGTTCTGAAAGCTTTAGACTTTTGGGAGAATTTAAAACCCATTCCTTCATAAAAACAGGTTTTTGCAAAACTTTAAAACGAGATCTCACTAAAACAGCCAACCCTTCAGGTTCACTGGGACTGGGTGGACTTTAACAATGAAGGCCTGCTGGTGTGTGAGACCCGTGCGGCTGAGGCTGGTGGGTTTCATGGGCCTGAGGGCTGCTCAGGTCTCAGACCGCTTCTGAAAACCAGAGACGGTCCAGCAGCAGAGCCAGGCTGGGTCAGACACAGCCAGCACACTCACTGGTGCACGTGGCTTTTCGTAGATGCTGCAGCTTTCTGAATGATGTGAGCTGCTGAAGCGGAACCCTCTCATGCTTGTTGTTGAACCCAGCTGTGTTCTTTAATGTGTCAGCTCATCTTCTTCCCTCTGCACCAGCTAATCATTTTTAAATGTAAATCAGCTTTATTCAACCCCTCCCCCTCTTGGAACATTTGGTACAAAGTTGACTGTGCCCTCCGCCCACGTCCCAAGAGCCGAACCTGTGATTTTTTATCAAGAGAGCTCACAAGTTAGGGTCTCAGGGAGCAGGTGAAGTACGACTGAGGAGCTGCAGGGCAGTGAGTGACACCTCCTCCTCCCCCTCCTCCCCCAGAGGAGCTGCCACTATAAAGTGTCCCGCTTTAGCCCAGAGGCGCCCACAGCCAGGACCTACCTGTCTGTCTGTCTGCCATCATAAAAAAACAGCTTCATCCCTGGATAGAGGACATGTTCCCGTGTTACCTGTAAAGACCGAGCTCTTACCTGTACGCACAAAGACAAGCAAGGGTGGAAACATTGCGCGTTAAGGACGACACGAGCCCAGACGAGGCGGAGGGAGAAAGCTTTCAGACAAAACAATGAATGGTGTTAGAGACGCACACGAATGGTCCTCATGGTGCTGCACAGAGAGACGCAGCAGCAGAGCGGCAGACAAACACACCAGCCGGCTCTGTTCGCTGCTAACTAGCCTTTGTGCTGGAAGAGGAGGAGACCCCTCCAGTCGAGCAGCCAGGCTTGTCTCTTTGTCCTAAAGAGCATCAGCTGATCATCAGTCAACTCTCCTCCCGCCCCAGACCCGTCTGTTGGACCATCCTGACGGATGCAGGAGCCACACAGCCTCCTCTGGCTGTCCAACAGACACGCTCGCCAGAACATCACACCTTTCCTTCTCTGCTCCACGGATGCTCAGCGTTAGGAAAAATGATCGTGAAGTTCCACACCAATGGAACCGAGCAGGCTCGATGTCAGCGCAGCTTCCACACCTGAGTCTAGAACTTCACCCCCCACTTCACTTCCAATCAGAACCAGAGCCGACCCGACAGACGCGACAAGCAACAGGCTTCGCTTACACAGTTTAAACGTGAAGCAGCTGAAGCGAAGCGAAGCATCCAGACAGGAAACGCCAAACTGGAACCAGTACATTTACCCTGACACATTCACAAGTCCATCTCTGGCTACCATACCCCCAAAGCACACCACTGACTACCCTCACCATCCACCCCCCACCACCACCAACTCCTCACAGCACAACTCCTCCCCCTTAGCCAAAACAACCAAACTAAAGCTAGTCTGTGACTGTCTCCATCTCTCTGGGGAATGCCGGGCAAAGTGAAGGCTTCCGCACCACCTGACGCGCTGCCGTGAACTCCTGCGCCTGCCATCGACTACGCCTTTTGTTATCCGCTGCTGAGCTGAGGAAGAGGAGGAACAGACAAGAGCGATAGGGGAGAGGGAGAAGGGGAGAAAAGAAAAGCAGGATGAAGCTGAGAGGCTCGTAGGAAGCTACAGCCAGGTCAGAGTCTCGGGACGCCCTACACCCCCACCCCCACCCCCACCCTCCCCTGTATCATCTATTTGCAATGTCAGCGTCATCTCAGCATCGTAGCCCCCCCCCCCCCCCCCCCCCCCAAACCCCTCCTTCCTCTCCACGCGCCAGACACCGGGACATCAGCCATGTCGTGACATCGTCATCTCCACCTTCTGCTGGTGTTCTTCAGCTCCAACACAACAAACAAAGAGAAAAACATATCTGTTCCTGCCCCCCACCCCCACCCCCCACCCACCCACCCACACACACACACACACCTGACCCTGCAGCACACCCCCCCATCACACCGGGTCTGTACCTGTCTGCTTGTCTCTCCCGTCTGCAGCTGCTTGCCCAGAGTGAGATACTGCAGCAGGAGTCTGCAGCGACAGCCCTCGCTCTGTCTCCCCCCCTCTCTTTCACACACACCCCCTCCATTCAGCCTTTGCTGTGAACACGTTCCTCCCTGGGCTGATCAATTTCTCCTCGTTTCCAAAGTGAAACGCTGCAGCAAAGCAGGCAGCCGTAGAAGAGATGCGCTGCCTTTGAGTCCACACGTGTGTTCGCATTTGACGGCGACTGCAGCTGCTGTGTTTGCATCCGCCATCAAAGTTAGTGGAAATCTGCTTGTTTTTCTCTACGTATTTCTGCTGAATTGTAACAAAAGGGATCAAATAGAGTAAAACAGTGTGTGCGTTTTTTTCTATTTGTCCTTCTTTCAGGTCAAGTTATGCCCTCGCAGCTTGCGCTAATCTAGGAGTTTAATCACCGTCAACACCCCAGATAGATCAGGGTTATGACCCTGTGTCACATAACGGGGGGAAGGAGAGCCGTCTGCAAATGTTATCATTGATTCATTACGTTTTTTTTAATTCAAATGGAAAGCAGCAGCTGTAGAACGCGCGTGCAGACGAGGAAAATCGTTAGATTGAAAAATGTTGGTGGATTGGTCGCTACCTTTCTAGCCCTCCGAAATGCCCTGAAGCATCGGGCCGACAGAGGTAAATCCGGCAGCCAATGTCAAAACCGTGGCCAGGTTGAAGTCTATGGGGGATGGTTGGTCTTTGCAGATGGGTTCAGTGATGCGGGCTGTGACGCAGAGACCGGGGGGCAGGGAGCTGGCTGTATGCTGAATCCAGCAGGCGGCAATACAGGTGATCAATCAGCTCCATTACAGCCACGTCACTGCGGAATCGTCTGGAGCCGGCGCCTCATCCTGCCCATCACCCCTCTCACATTTGCCAACGTTCCCCGGCTTCTGGCTGGAGCAACGAAAAAGGCCACGGGTTTTAACACAAATCAGAAACCCTTAGGCGTCCAGCTGGTTTGTTTTATTACTAATGAAAACTCTGTTTGCCTCTGATCCAACATCACCATGTTTACGAGAAGTTCATCAACAATGTCCAAGCAGCCCGGAGAAGCCATTGTGTGCCAGAGGCCGCCAGGTCAGCCAAGCCATGGATCTATATCAGTCTGAGCACGAAGGAGCAGGGGAAGGAGGTGGCGTATGGAAGGGGAGGAGAACAGGCGACAGGGAAGAAGTGATGTGATGCACAGCGCCTCAGCAGCCAGCCTGCGGGACATTAATGATGATCATGTCTTGTCACACTAGCTGTCGGGCCAGTCAGCAGATCCTGCCTTTGTCCCTGCCCTTCTCCGATCAATAGCATTGATCTGTCCCAGGGGTCAAGGGGCAAGGGCATATCAATAGGGGGAGAGTGGCTGATGCAGCAGCCAGAAAGGGGCTGTCTCCAGACAGATCGATGACACCCCGTCTGCCACCGCTGTGTTATGATTATTCATTTGCCATTAACCAAACCACACCGAGGGAATGGGTTTCCTTGGGAAGAATTGCTCGCAGCGGCTGGCTTTTATAGGAAAGTGAGGTTTTATGAGTTGGGGGAGCTGGGGTGCCGTTCTGGCCAGAAGTGAGTGTTCTGGTCACAGGCAATTTGTTACTAAGGTCTCCGCTCGCTGATGACGTCAGGAGGAAGAGGCCAATCACTGCTGTCCAAACTGTTACGGATGTAAGCCAACTGGCTGATTGGACCAGACTCAGGTGTCTGGGAGTCGCTCCCTGTGGTACGCTCGGATGCCTCTTAAAACTCAAGGAAGGACAAGTATCGCTGGCTTTATTTCATCTGGGTCAAGTTTTACAAATATACTGCTTTTAAACAAAGCAGAAGCTATTGGACAAACTTCCACGCCAACAGCTTCCCCCCTCTGGGAATGGGTTTTCCATTATTCCAAGTCATCTGATCTTTCTTTGTGTGGGGCATTTAAGAGCTCTGAGGCAGCGGTTTAGCTGCAAACAAAATAAAAACACACTTTCTGACTCATGTAAGAGAGTCATCTCAAGACCGACTGATGATCAGAAAGACTAAACACCTGAAACCAGAGCATCGCTGCTTTATTCTCACTGAAAATTAGAGGTGAAGACAAAAAGCAGCTGTGATCAAAAGCGATTGCTGCCGAGGCGAAATGAAGGGTTCTAGATTGTTTTCCTCCAAAGGAACCCAATATCCTTAATCAGTCTGCCTCTGGCTGCAGCTGGTAAAGACGAGAAGATTTGATAAAAGAAAATCAGCAGGTTGATCTGCACCAAACTAATCCCATCATTTATTTGTTCAGCCACGCCACAAATGAAGGTGCAGCTGCAGCTACACAGCTGGACAGAGGAGTTCTGAGGCTGCATGATTCACAGAGGCAACGCTTGCCTCCACACATCTGGAAGAGCCATTTAGGATCAGAGGTGAGGAGAGATGAAACGTAATTGCAAGTCCTAAAATAAACAGCTGGTCTCTCCCCGTACAGCAAAAGGAAAGAGGGCCGTTTTCTTCCTGTAAAGCGTCTGATTTGGACCAAATAAATGGACTGTCTTTGCTCCTGCTTTCAAAGAAGAGATCTTTTTTATCTACCCGTGTGACTGGTTTCTCCATCACGTTTCTTTCTTTTCTTTTTCAGCACCAGAGACATGAAGCTAACTGAAGACGAGAGCTTCACTGACAGAGAGGTTGAAAATTACAAGATAAAAGGAGTTCTTGGGTTTCCGGGAATTCACCAGGATCGTATTCCCGCATGGAGAACTGTTTAATGACAATGCCTATGATTGCAATCTGAGGCTCCACTGATTCTAGCTGGAAGTGTCAGTGCCGTGCCAGGTCTCGCTGCTGATTATCTAAAGGTCTTTCTTTAATCCCACTCTGAATAAAACACCAAACAAGAAGCCGGTAGAAAGTTGTGTTTATGTGTCTTTGTGTAAAAGTTACAAACGTGGAATCCTCCTTAGATGTTTCAGCAGTGCTCCTCCTCAGCAGGTCTAAAAGACGAGGTGGAAACTCTGAGCATCAAACACAACAACCCGCAAACCGAGCTGCCTGGAACCAAACAGCTGATTGTTGAAACGACAGTTTTCAGAGGGCTGGTCCACTCAGACGGGTACAGACGCAGTAAAAGCGTCCTTCAAAGCGAAAACACTGCAACAGTGATAAAGAACTACAGCAGACACAGCCGCTACGCCCCCTGCACTCGCTGCATCTCAAATCAAGTCAGCCTGAAGAGTAACAATCTGAGGCTGATCTGCCAGGCCATTTTTGTCTGGTGAGCTGCTCCGGAGTCGTTTTACAAGCTGTGGCTGGAAGCCAGACACGGATGAAGGCTCGTGTTCACGTCCTCCGTAAACCGAAACTTCTGTCGTCGAGGCAAGCCTCCACCTGAAACTAGACCACATCACAAATGGTCGTTGTATGAAGTTGTGGACAATTTATCACAAGACTCAAGGACAACGGATATACATTCCTATTTTCCCACGCTGGATAACTGGGAATATTACAGATATTTATAGGGAAACTTGGTATAAACAACTATAAATCAAGCTCAGGTGATAACTAAACCACTAAATCATCCTAAACTAACTTTACAGATAAAAACGTTCTAACGTCTGAGACCAGCAGGGCCCTCAGCTCAGCCAACAATGTCTGTTTTATAAAAAACAGAATCAAACACATGGACGGATCATTCTGGCGACTGAACCACAGACAGGGACACCACGGACCCACGCTGACCCAGTCAGCCAACGGGTCCCACTAGGATGGGCTCTGCAACCTTTTAGTGAGACCAAAACATTTTTATCGTCTCTCCAACCAAAAATAGTATAAAGCTACAAAATCTAACTGATCCATAAAGGATGGTACTGTTTGGGTCAAGTCCACGGGAATTTCCCAGATGTGTGGGAAGATTTGTGGAACGGTTCACTTGAAACTGTGAAACATTGAGTTAGTGTTTTCTATCTGAGTCACCGACTAAATTAATACTTCAAATCAAATCAAATCAAAGCTTTATTTATAAAGCGCCTTCCGCAACCCTGTCAGGAAGCCCAAGGCACTGTTTAGTTTGTCTGAGTCAGAAACCGCAGGTAACCGGTCACATGATGTTTGTGTCCAACTCCAGCTGTCACCGAGTGAGAAGTGGGGACAGACTGGACAGGTCTCCAGCCCATCAAACTCCAGTCCACCCACTCACGCCTGAGAGAAAACTCATGTTGCATGGGTAGATTTTGCTTACTCCACACAGAGTCCTTACTTACTCCTGCAGCCAGGATTTGAACCAGCAACCTTGTAATGAGCCAACCATACTACCGACTGCACCACCATGCCACAAGATTCCAGTTCGTCACCAACAGCTGCATCCCAATCCGATTGTCCCTTTCCAACAAAGAGCAAATGTCTCAAAGTGTCAAATTACACCCCCATGCCACCCCTAACCCTATCCCTAACCCCATGCCACCAAGGTGCTGAACAGGACTAAAATAAGACAACAAATAAAAACAACAAACATTAATCATAAAATACAAGAAAAGTCAAATAACAGCAACTACCACTCAGAATTAAAAGCCAGATTATAACAATGGGTCTTCAGTGCCTTCTTAAAAACCTAGACTGACGTGGAGAACTGCGCTGATAATGGAAGATTCTTCCATAATCTTTTAAGCCTAGTCCCAGGGACCAAAAGCATATGATGATTCTCTGAGCGAAGAGACTATGGTACGCATGGCTGCAACAAGTCAGACAAGTACTCTAGCACCAACCCAGTCAATGCTTTAAAAACCAATGTAACGATTTTAAAACACACTCTAAAATCAACTGGTAACCAGTGCAGAGCTGCCAGGACCAGACTACACACACCTGGACTCCAACCAGACCCGACCTGCATGTTAATCCTCGCTGCATTACTACAGCAAAGTCAAGTGATTGTTTACGACATTTTAGTTAATCTACTGTGATCCTTGTTTGAGATTCACGTGTAACCATGGCAACACTGACAGCTGGTACCACGCTGAGATGCTTTGGTTCCAGTCCGAGAAGTGATGACATCATTTTGTGAAACACATTTAGCCTTTTACCAAGAAACAAAAACTAAAGCTATGACACCGTTTCAACCCATTTACCAACTTCTCTAAGAAAGAATTATTGAACTTCACAGATACTTTGATCAGAGAAAGATCTGCTAACATTCCACTCAACATCACATTGCTGGACCCAGCCATCGAGGCAGAAGTTGGGTGTCGAATGCCTCTTGAGGCAAGTGGATCACCCTAAAAGGTCCTCCGTGAACCACAATCGAGCATAAATCACACCTTCATGAATGCACTGACACTGATAAGAGCCATGACTGGACTGGTACTTTAAGCCCAGCATTGATGTCACACATGTACTCCAAGGAAAGCTAGAAGGTTGTACAGTTAACTCCCAGGGTATAATTCTAAACCATACAACCTACTACCTCAACCCGGATGTACACATCTTCATCTGCACTTCCTCTTCTCTACAGAGAACCCTTTAGATTTCTTCTCCACTGACCTCAGACTGGCTTTACTCAGGGTAGAGGCCACTTTATATAACATTAGAACCGTAGATGTGCAGGTAATTATCTGTCATGTGATTGTTCCAGTTTGATAAAAAATACTACCAAAGCAAGAGGGAAGAGAAGCATAACGGAAGATGTTCACACCACAGTGACAAAGACCCACAGAAGCGAGCTTGTGCTGTCAGATTCGCCACAAGATCGGATCTACGGGTTTGTGCCAAATGGTCAATAACTAACTCAGTGCAAGTTATTGTTTTTCAGCCTGTCAAAGACTTCATCTAAGAACCTCATTATGGTAAGATGTCAGTGAGACCAGTCTGCTGCAGACTCACCTCAATCAAAAGTTCTTCAGATGGTAAAGGAACCATGAGGACTTACCCATGAACAGGTCCCAGCAGGAAGAGGGGTTTGTTGGTAGGCCAACGTTAGTTTCACCACCTTAAAAACAGGGAAAAAAAAGTTTAAGGATACACGATAAGCATCTGTAGGGTCAGGGAGCATGCAGAGCCCAAAGAGGAAAAATGCTTTTAAACTTAGAGAGAGATGCACATCTCAGCATGTTTATGACCCCAAGTATCTCATCAGTGGTAAATAAAACCACTGAATTAACATCTTTACCTTAATCTTCCCAACCAAGATCCAAACAGTCAGAGCAGACCAGCAGCAGCATGGCTGCGGTGAGGTTAGCGCTTCTCAGTGAAGACTGCACACAGCACAGAGGAGGGAGCAGCTTGAGAGAGATGCCAGTGTAATCAAGCATGCTGCGGCCAGCTAACATTAACTGTGCCCATGCCGGAGACACCAACAGCTGAGCGTACTCCTCACCGCGATGCAACAAGGGTCGGCTAAAACTAAAGGTTCTGGAGACTTAATGAAGTTATATTTTTGTGTTCACGCACCGCCTCAGTCGGCGTGAGTGCTGTCCACCATTTTCTCTGACACAAACGAGGACAACAAACTGGATTAAAGCAAATTTCTGGCGTCCGTCAAAATTTTCTCCCTCCGAGTCTTTCTAACTCACTCTTGCTAGGTGCCGTTTCAAAACCGTCGCTCAAAACATCACATGATGTCCTCCCAGAAAGCCTCAGCATTCTGCTGACATTGTAAAGACATCTTTTGTCTGAATCAAAAGGTTAGCCCCTCCTACCCCTTCCCAAAATCTGGCACCTTCTGGGGAAGGCTGTGCAAAGGGTGGTGCCATGGCAACCTCCACCTGGCAGGCTGCCCAGCACCCTGAGCTGGAGAGAAGTAGGGACTAATGTGGTGCGGAGCAGGAATGCTCGGTGCCTTCTAAAGTCAGCACTCAGGGCGTGCTGGTTGCTTAAGATTTCAGATGCCAGATTCATTTTTGAAACAGCAAAAGCATCAAGACTGGATGCGCTAATGGCTCAACTGTGTATCAAACCTCTTCATTCAGACACGTGGGTCCAGCTGAGATGAAGTTCACACGTCTGCCTGGCCATCGACACACTGATCATCCCTACTGTGTGAGCTCTTCAGCAAAGGAAGCAGGAGATTTAGAGCCGGTACATTTAATCAGACCTGACAACAAATGGAAATTCTTGCTACCCTTTCTCTGCGGGGAATAACTAACATCACTGTAAGGATGTCCAGATTCAAAAACCAACATTAACAGACAAGTATGTTTTGTTTCCTGTGCTGCAGAGTTTACAAACCGCCCGAGTCCGAGAGGCTGGTGCCTTGCTGCTGGGGCTGTGGCTCAGGTACAGCCAGGTCTTAGTGGGAATCAGGAGCACCTGATTGGCTCCAGTAGACTAAAACACAGAGCTCTGCTTTTAAAGCAGAGGAAAGGACGTACATGTAGAGTTTTACATCTGAATGTAGAGACGTTAAACTCATTCAGCCTCAACAGTCAAATATAAATCATCTTCACCTACGTAGCACCTTTGTCACCTTCATAGGGAATGTTTCACATTTACAGAGTCAGTCAGCGCTGAACAGTGAGACTGGTGGAAGCTACGCTGATTATCTTCAGAGTTCACAATCACCTGCACGCCACTCACTTTTCACCTTTTAGTTTTACAAACGTTCGGCGAGACATCTGAAGGTACCGCTACAGACGGAGCTGTCTCACGCTCACAGCGCCGGCTGAAGGCTCGGCTGCAGCAGCAGCGTAGGTGAAACGTTACAAGCACACACATATATGGTATAAAGCAAACACAGCAAACGCTTTTAGGTTCTCATAAAAACCTGATAAAATAATCACTGCACCAAAGCTGACCTGAGATCTGTGCTCAGTGGATCTGATCTTTAGCTAATGTGTTGAGTCTTTTATTTGTTAACGCGTCTGACTGCTTCAAACCACCTAACGTCTGTTCTGCAGTGACAGAATCCAACACCACCGCACACATGGCAGGATGAGGGGCTGCACTAACACATAACAACCCAGTATTATAAAAACTTTGTTGTTAAACATTTATAATTGTTTAGTAAGTCGTTAGTGATCATTAACATATCGTTTGTAAGGTCTTAGATAACAATGAACAAATAATTTATAAAGATTGTCATGAATTTGACATTTATAAGTGTTCAGTAAGTTATTAACAGATCATTCACACGGTGTTATTATTTATAAACCCTTTATTTATAAAGGATTAAGTTGGCATTTACAAATGCATAAATAAATATTAGGAAACATTACCAAATGCTCATTAACACATTTGGCAATGTTTATAGATTATATCTAACTTTCTAAAGTCACAATAGCACACACACACACACACACACACCCACACACACACACACACACACACACACACACACACACACACACACACACACACACACACACACACACACACACACACTTGTATTCATATGTTTGTGGGGATCTCCACTGACTTCCATTCATTCTAATGACTCCACTCTACCTAACCCATACCCATACCCTAACCATGGGGTTCTTTTCCTAACCCTAACCTAAACTAAAAGCTAATTCACACCAGACCTTTAAACCAAGTTTTAGGGTGCTTAGCACTGTGTGGACCAGCAAAATGTCACCACAATGCAAAAATATTGACACAGCACAGGTTAAAGTAAAAATGTGTCCACTTAAATCTATAAAGACAAGTACTCACACACACACACACACACACACACACACACACACACACACACACACACACACAAGCACACAGGCATGAAATTCAGTCGGCTTCAGACAGCAGAGAGATAGAAGCGCCTCAGGTCAGACACCATGGCAGGGGCGGCGTTAGGCCCGGCTACTTGGGCTCAAGCCCTGAATGTTTTATGAAAAGCCCCAGATCTAAAATGTGGAAGTAACATGCAGTACCAAAGTCCAACAGAGAGGGAGCAGCTGGCAGTAGTTTGTATACAGCCTGCCTGAGCCTCCACCACTGAAGAAGCCCTAAAGCAGCCGGCTTCTCTGCCTGAAATGCATGAGTGAAGATGGACATAAAAATGTTTTTTTAGACAAAAGGTACCTTGACAGAACCCCAGCTTTGATGATACTGGTGTTGACTCAGGTTTGTGAGTCTTATTTGAAAATATTTGTGATTTGTAATCTATATGATGTTGACTAGTGCATGTCATGTGTGTGTGTGTGCGCGCGCGTGTGTTGAGCCCCGGATCTTCTTCAGTCCTAAATCTGCCCCTGCACCATGGACATCATTATTCCTCCAAAGTGTGGTGAAAAGCATAAAACCCAGAAATCGAGGGTTGTATGTGATGTCTGGCCAGCTGTGTTCAGGCCTAAAGTCCGTTGAGTCATGTTGGGTTCGGGTTTAGTTTCTGGGCTTATGGAGAGCTGAGTGCGTGGCTGCAGCTGCGTCTGAGTGACAGGGTTAGAGTTGGTTTAGACAGGGAGAGCTCTGATGATAGAACAGAGAAAAATAAAAACTAGTAACAACGTTGCGCTGCTGTGTGCCCCTGTAGAAGTTCTACAAACTTGATTTTGTTTCATTACCCACAGTGATGTTAAACTGATGTTAAATTCAACTGTTGGGAGGAACCTTTGTTTCATTTAAGCTACAAGTGATGGTTTTCCTATTTGTAATATTTGCTCAGAGACAAGAGTAAAGGTCTAAATGTTCTCACAGGACAGCTCATTGGACAGTTTGTAGTTAACTGGTTAGTTAAGGAGGTCCATAAACTGGTATGATGATGAAATCCTAATTCAGCCCGCAGACGCCTGCTGGTTTTATTACCAAGATTATTTGGTAGGGACGCTCCGATCGGCCCGATCACGTGTTTTAGAAAGGGTCGGAATAAATCAGAGAAATAAATCAGATTTAACCTTTTAAAACAAAATCATGACTTTTTTAATTAATCCCGAGATAGTGTTAGCAAGCCTGCTAACACAGAGCTAACGTGTCTCCTCGGGAGAGCTGAAATATCTGCAGCTTGGTGGTATTTTAAACCGGACAGCAACTACAGAGCTAGACACTTGTAATGTGTGCGAACCGGGCATTCAACATGCTGGAAAGGACAGCTCCATGATTCGCTGCAAACAAGCTACTTTTGCTGTCGGCTTTACCCTTCAGGCATCAACAAAGCAAATCACCGGTCTCCATTTCATCCCCAGTGTACCTCTAACAGTCACAGTGAAGTCAGACAAAACGCGGAGCCAGCCGACAGAGAAAGTTACGCTAACAAACAAAGAGATATTGCCAACAGCCTGCAAATCATCGGGGTTTCTAGTTCTCCTGCAGCACCGGAGCTGCGTGCTTCTTATGTGAATGCTTTTCTGAAACGTATCAAATCGGAAATGGAAACAGGAAATGGCATCTTTGTCGTCTATTGTGTACACACACACACGCACGCGCACACACACGCACGTGCGCACACACACATCTGTTCCAGGCTCACACCAAAAGGGTCATTTCAGCCGGGGTCAAAGTTCAGATGAGAGCAGGGGTAAAGGACTCTCCTTGGGGAGGGCTGTACCATGGAGGACCAGACAGGGGTGAAAAAACCAGACAGACGAGGCAACAATAGGAAAACGGATAAAAGCCCAAAATAACACACCTGCACCTACAGCGAGTGTGTTCCACGCAACATTAAACGTGCGTCTGCACTGGGGTGGAACATCGACGTGTGTGTATGGTTATAGATGGAGACAAGCCTCTGTTTGTCCAGGTAAATCCAGATGTGCTTCACTAGAAGCTCTGAGACACAAAACCTGTCCTACAGCTAAAGGCAGACAGGAAATGCAGTCATTAGTCAGATGTACAACTGATCGTCAAAGCCGCGGTCAACACCTGAGCAATCAGAGGTGTGCGTCCCAGCATCCTGGCTCGGAGTTTCCAGTGCTTCCACTGCTTTACCGAGCTGCTGGTTACTGGGAGACATTGCCTGATTCACCTGTCTGCTGCTGCCTAGCACCAGACTAAACACAGAGATTCTCATAACGCCCTATTGGTTGCAGCTGACTAACAGTCAACCAATGGGTGAGCAGG